TCTACGAGGCAGGGAGAGTGGGCTGAGCAGGGCCCCTTTGTGAGGGAGGCTGGCTTGGCTGGCAACTCACTGCTCTACCGACGCTCAACCGGAAAGAATTGGAGGTACGAGCAGCCAGCCTCGGCCTCCACCATGCTGGCACCATGCCTTGAGCCCCACCATTGAAGTTCCAGCTTCATCTGGGACAAGAGGGGAGGCTGGGGCCAGGGGAAGGGCTGAGTCCCGAGTGGGAGCCCCCCTCCCACGCCTTGAGGCAGCCTTTGAGGACATACCTGAGGTTTGGCAGCGCCCGGCCAGCCGGCCCCCGGGGCTGAGTCAGCAGGAAGGGATTCAGGACTTCCCAGGAAAAGCGGCGGGAACTCTGAGCGCCCCCCCACCCGGGCTCCCGGCCCCCAGCCCGCGCCCTCCCCAGGGCCGGGAAAGAGCAGAAAGTGCCATGTGCGCCCGACTGTGGCCCGGGATGCTCATGGGGGCTGAACTGTGGGAGGTCATGAGGGCTTATGGTCGGCCCTGACTCGGGCAGTCCAGCTGTCTGGGGGTCAGAGTGCCCCAAGTGCAGGCAGATGCAGGGAGCTGGTGGGGATGTTGGTGCTACACGGTGCACAGGTGCACTTGGCCGCACACACTGTCCCATGACCCTGAGGCGTGGGCCTGCAGGTCAGGGGTTGCTGACCCCTGGCGGCTGCTGGAGGTGGGACAGCGCCCTGCCCGGCTGGGGTATCCAGCACACCGGGCGAGTCTGGCCACATGCGCTTTGGGGCACTGGTGACTGCACGTAGAGCTGTCATCGAGAGTGACAGCATCACCCAAACGGGTGACAAGAAGGAATTGCTGGTGGTGTGTGAGGGTGTGTCTGGGGAGGACAGGGACAGGGTGTGACAGGGACAGTGTGACCTGGGAATGGATCATGCGGGAGGCTGGTTCCAAATGCTGCTCGTCGGCTGTGACCCTGGGTAGGGCAGCCTCTGTTTCCTTGCCTATACGTGCCAAAATGCTGGTGTCTGTCACTCCCCTTTGGCCTGGGGTCTCCTCCCTCTGACCTGCCTAGACCCTGCACCCAGGCCCTGGGAGGGGTGAGGCGGCAGGACAGCAGCAATTCACCTGGCCCGTTTTGCTCTGCGGGCACCCTGCCTCTGTTTCCACCGTTCCCCCCCTCAGCCGCCTGAAGCCAGGTCTCCCCGCCAGGCTGGCTCCAGTCTTTGGGGTCTGAGACTGGGACGTACCCAACTCCGAGGGCTGATGAGAGAGACAGACGGGGCCGGGGAAGTGGTGGGTGGCCGCGCCAGGTCCACGAGGCCTCGATGGAGGAGCCAGCAATGTTCAGCCAGGATAAGAGGCAGCCGGAGGGGAGGGGGCACCGGCCTGTAGGGCTTGGACCCCACAAGGGCTGCCACGTGGGAAGAGGCAGACTGCAGTTCCATAAAAGAAACACTTTCCAACAAACTGAATCCCGCACCAGCTCCAGAGGATTCTTTGTTATGAGAAATTATGTATCTTCCTCCACTTCAGTACCTTCCGTGGCTCCCTATCACCTGCTAGAGATAGCTCGAGCTTCTCACTCGGCATTCAAGGCTCCGTTCATCGCCCTGCATGCTTCCCTTCTGCCTCTGCTCTCCATGTCCCTCTTCCTGCCTTCACAGACACATTTGTAGCTGCCCAGAACGCCCTTCCTGTCTTGCCTATGGGTGAACTCCTACACATCCTTCAAAACCCACCACCTACGTCCCCTTCTCTGGGAAATATTGCCCTCCCTGCCTCCCCAGCCCACAGTGTCCCTGTTTGCTTTGTGACTGCGGGCAAGTTCCTTCAGCTGTGAAATTGGAGTTATTTGTGTGAAAATTACCCGCCCTACAAGCCTATTTTAACCCCAAGACAATAAATGCACATTAAATACCCTTGAAGTGAGTCAGGCCGTGGGGCAGCAGGGAGGGCTTGCATCCAGTCAGTGCTTAATGTGTGCTCATGATTCTCTTCCTCCTCTTGGATTCTGCGGTTTTACGACTCTCTTGTTTTAAGCATTGTTCCAAGATTTTTCTCCCACTCACAGTGCTAGGAATTTTAAGAACCCCTGGTTCTAAAATTATAAAAGTCTAAAATGCCGTGGGCGGGCTTGAGGGCCTTCTTGTGCCCTGAGCTGCCCCCAGGGGTGGCTGAAGCCAGGGTCTCTGGGGGGGCCTCATGCCCCCCACTTTCCCCAGGCTGAGGGGGTGTGATCTGGCAGCCTCGGTTTGTGGGGGGAGAGCAATGGATTTACCAGGAGGCGGCTGGCCAGCATTCCAGGAGGGAGGGGGCTGGACTCCTGGCTCCACTCGAATGGGGTCACAAGGCAGCAGCAAGAGGCACAGGGCTGTCAGCTCAGGCTGACGGCTTCTTTGTCTTGGAGACTCAGTTTCCTCATCTGGAAATTGGAGTTAAGGGCTGTCCTTTTAAAAAATGTCAGCAGGGATGGGAGGAGCCAGGGCTGCCGTCCCTGCCCTGTGCCAGGCATTGGCTTTGGCTGTGTCCTCCACCTGGAATGTCCTCTCTGGTCCACTTCCCTCCGGAAGCCCCTCGTCCTCCTGGCCCAGCCATGGCATCTGGGGAGGGGGCTTCGAGATGATGTCCATCCACCCCTGCCCCGCCCCAGGGAAGGGAGGCCAGCTGCCCGCCCCCACCCCAGCTGCCCCAGGTCTGGCAGCAGCCACCACCTCGACGCTCTCTCCGTGAAAGGTATTTGGCCGTGACGCCTGACACCTCATCACTCCCGGCCTGGAAGCCAGCTTTACCCGCCCGCTGCAGGGAGAGCCCCCCGACACTTGCTTGTCCCCGGGACCCCACCGGGCAGCCTGAGGCAGGGCTTTGGGACAGGTAAGCTCGGAGCCCAGGTCACCTTGGCCAAGGACGTGCCCTTCTGAGTCAGGGCCTCCCTGTCAGCTAACGTCATAGACACAGTGAGTTCTGGGTAAAAGCACATGCCCCCTGGCTCCCGAGGGGGCATCTCTCCACTCCTGTCCATCGTAGCCCATCCAGGGAGAGGCTGGGGGGGTGGGCAACGAAGGCCTTCCAAACCTCGACGACGGCAGAGTCCTGAGGCCCACTCTCAGAGACTGGGGCTGAGGCCCTTGGGTTCATCATATTCTCCCCCACCCTCTGGACCCCCAAGACCACCCCCTGGGCAGGGGAAGGTTGTTCCCACGAAAGGAATGGCCTGGACAAAGGCATGAGGGCTGGAGAGATTGGCTGATGGGTCAGCCTGAGGGGTTTCGGGATGGACAAGAGCCAGCAGACCATGTGGGCTGAGTGCTGTCCCCACAGGTGTGTGTTGGGGTCTGTGGGGGAGCCCATCTCCCTACCGAGGCCAGGCCCTCTCCAGACCCTGGCTGTTGGCACAGAGCTGACATCTCCAAATGCTGGACAGGTAGATGGTGGGATGGGCGGGAGGGATGGGGGCAGCAAGTGGCGGAGCGGGCAGGCCGGCGCTGGAAGAGGAAATGGGTAGGTGGGTGTGCAGAGGGCCCGAGCATACCCTGGGTTAAGGAAACAGCCCCGCACCCTCACTCCCTGCTGTCACCCCATCCCTGGGGCGATGAACAAGGCACAATGCCTTGCATCCCAGGTCCCCAGCAAGCCGCTTTGACACCTTCCTGGGGCCAAGGGAGTCTCACGCGTGTGCTGGAGCGCAGCCGCTGGGCCATCCAGGCAGCCCTATTCCTGCTAGGATTCACCCCAGAGCGCAGGCAGCACTTTTCCTCTCCTTTTGGGGGCTCAGTTTCTCTGTCTGGAAAGTGGGGATGTGGTCAGAACAGCGCCTGCGCCACGGGGTGCCGGGAGGGCTGGTGGACACCGAGAGCCAGCCACAGCGTCCTGCCACCTCCAGCCCCAGCCTGCAGAGGGAGAGGGCCTGGGGCCGTGGCCTTGGGCAGCCTGGTCACCATGTGGCCAAGGCGTGGCCAGGCCTCAATGGGTGGGGCGGAGGACGGGGCAGCGTGGCCCTGGCTGAGAAGTCCAGAGCAGCCTCGGCTCCTGCCGCCTGGTGGCCTACGCCCCTGCCAGGGCCCCCTCCCTGCCCATTGCAGCCCTCGGGCATGGGGCCAGACGGGAGCCGCCGGCCACAGCCAGGCTCAGAGGAGAAGGCCAAGGCGGCAGCTGCTACTGTGTTCAGCGGTCAGGGCTGCACAGGCTCGGGCTGCCCACGAGGCGGCTCTGCACACACGTGTCACAGACACACTTCTGCGCGCCTCAGCCAAGACCCACAGGCCGGCCTGAGGCCCATCTGGGACCTCGCCAAGTCCTCTGAGCAGCTCGCACACTCGTGTCCGGGTGTCTGCTTGCCAAGGTCTGGGGCCAGCAGCCCCAGTCTCCATCTTTACGCCCTAAGACCGACACCATGAGTTGAAAATGAAGCATCTTTAATTGATTCCCTGCCCCAACCCCCCTGGGGGCGGGGGGGGTCTCCAAGCACCAAACCTGTGAGAATTGTGCCCCTCAGCCCCAGGAACCAAGAAGCCCCTGCCTGACGTTCACTGGGCCAGGACACCGCCCCCCCAAACCCCTTGAAGAGCCCCATGGGCTTCGTTTCAATAAATAACCCCTAGAACAAAGCTTGGGGCAGAGGACCCAACATAGCACCCAGCTTAGCGACACAGAGAGGGCGCTTCAGGCGACAGTTGGAAATCTCAAGGGGCAAAATATCTGAAATCAAGGTCAAAACATACATAAAATCAGAGCCAGCATGCAAGCTGGGAGCAAATCCCCCCTGGGCCTCAGTCAGATGCCCGATGGTCTCCCAGGATGCTGGTTCCCGCCATCAGGAAGAACGCCATTCTGTGTCACACAGCAACAGTCCCCTGCCTGGTATTTCCACCATTGGACACTCCTAGGTCTTGACTCTGAATTCTGGGCAGGGGAGGAGGGGGGTGCCCAGAAACCTGGGGGAAGGGAGCATCTGGGGAAGGGGGCTGAGACTTCCCAGGTACAGAGGAGTCCGGGGCAAGGCAGAGGAGTGAGGCCGGGAGCCCAGGTCACTGCTGGGCCCTGCCCCGGCGGGTACGGAGGCGACCTGTGGTTTGAGCCTGTGCCCGGGCCGCCTGGCCCATCTCCCTGCGGATGTCACCAAGCGCTGTTGCCGGGGCCTCCAGCAGCCTCTGGAAGAGGCTAGGCCGGCCGGCTGGTGGCTCCCGACACTGGAAGGTGACTGCTGTGCCAGCGTCGGCCTTCATCTCCCGAGAGAAGCCGTCAGAGGAGCCATCAAAGCAGCGGCCGATGGCGATCTCCTTGGCCAGCCTCGGGCTCTGGTCGGTGACCGTGTAGACACCGTAGTTGTGACCCAGAGGGTCCAATGGGGCCAGCATGCTGAAGGCCGCCGGGTCGTCAGCCGGGGCAGGAGGGGGGTGCCGGGCCAAGTAATCCCGCAGGAGCCCGTTGACGGCCACACGGCGGCAGCTGCCCTGGGGCATTATGGTCACCAGCGTCCTGTCCACCTGACGCTGGTCGAATAGCATCCCGCTGCACTTAAACTCCACGCAGGCGGCGGATGTGCCGGGGCGCTCGGGGTCTCGGACACTGCGGGCATCCCGGAGCCCGTAGAGCTGGCCCTGGGTTCGCGGGTGGCTGCCCCCCGCGTTGTGCGCCCGGACCATGTACTCCTGGGAGCCCTGGATCTTCACTTTGAGGAAGCAGGCCCGGAACTCCTGGGGGTTGGGCCACCAGGCCAGGAGGTCTCCAGTCCAGGAGGCCGGCGCGCCCTCGCGGAACGGGACCACGTTGTACTCGTATTTGTCGGCCTCCACGCGCGCGAAGCGGAAGTGGCTGGCGGTCACCGGGGCATCCTGGCATTCCCGCAGACTGCGCCACGGGTACACCGGGCCATTGGCCTCGGCGGGGTCACCCGGCCTGGGTTTCGCCAGGTTGATGCGGAAGCCGTTGCGTTTGAGCGCCGGGTCGTCGTGGTCCGTGCGCCTGTACCTCAGCCTGTCCAGGTAGGGCTGGGCCACGCCCACGGTGGCTGCGAGCGGGCGGGGCCGGGAGGGGGCGGGCTCCAGCTCCTCCCCGCCCAGCGTGGCCGTGACCAGCGCGGTGTAGGCGTCGGGCGGGTCCGCGTCGCAGAAGGCGGGGAGGCAGGCGCCGTTGGGACCGGTGACCGCGCTGTCGAAGCGGCCCCAGGCACGGGGGTTGGCCGAGTAGCCAGGGGCGGGCTCCAGGTTGACCAGCGTGACCACCACGCCCTCCACCTGCTCGCTGGGGGTGAACTTGTCGTTGGCGTAGGCGCGCACCTTCACGAAGCAGCGGCGGCGCTCGGGGACGTCCAGGTTGAACAGACGCCGCTCGCGGATCTCCACGTTGCCCACCAGGAAGACCCGCTCCTCCCGGCGGACCCGAGGGGCTGCCGACCCCTCCCGCTGGAAGCCGCTCTCCTCCTCCCACAGGCCTGTGTCAGGGTTCAGCGACCACAGCTTGAGGGCCTCCGCGTGGCCCGCCATACGGATCTGGCCGGCGTTCACGCGCACCGCCACGGGCCCCGCCTGCAGCTGCTCCGCGGAGCCGGCGGCGCGGAGGTCCACCGAGAACATGCCATAGGTGCGCAGCGGGGCCAGCTCACCGTCACTGTCCGCAAAGCGCAGGTCACTGGGGGCGGCGGCCGCCGACGTGAGATCTCGGGGGTCCACGAACGTCACCCGGGCCTCCACAGCCCCGGTGTAGGGCTCGCCATCGGCTCTGCGGAAGGCTCCCGCAGGAAGGACCAGCTCGCCCAGTGGAGCCTCCTCTTCCAGCTCCCCAAGAGGGATCGTGTTGCTCTCGCTGGCATCTAAGATGACGGGGGCTTTCTTCCGCATGGCCTTGACGTCATGGTATACGCCGCCCCCTCGCGGGTCAAAAGGCAGGACTCTGACAGTGTCCATGAACTCCCCACTGGGGTCCACGAACGTTACCACCAGCCGCTGTGTGGAGGGAGGCACCTCCAGGATGAAGTCACCCTGGTAGGAGGTGAATCCGATGGGCTCCTGGCCTAGCAGGATCTGGGCGAAGCTCAGGGGTTCCCCTGAGTCCGAAGCCAGCACACGTCCCCGTACCAGTCCCCGAGGGGGCAGACATTTCTGGCAGCCACACTCAGCCACCACCTTGACCGGGAGGACGTAGTTGGAGCAGTGGATTTCCCTGCTCTCCAGGCGGCGAACAGAGCAGCAGCGGGAGCCTGTGTCCCCACACCGGGGGCTGGAGCCTGCCGGGCTGGGGCACGCGGTGTCGGGGCAGAGCCCCACATCCAAGTAGGTGGGGCCACTGCCAGACTGACCACAGTCGTCTGGGAGCTTGATCAGGTGCTCTTGGGGCCGGGGATGGCAGGCTGGCTGGCCCGGGGCTGCAGAGTGAGAAATCAATCAGATCAGAGGTAGAGGGAGGTTTCCATTTGAGTGGAAGTTTGGGGGCCTGGACTGGGGTCAGGACTCAACCCAAGGGTTCGGTGGGGGCCTGGGATCAGACTCGGCATGGAAAGAGAGCCGTCTAAAGTTGGGGCTCCATTTGGGGTTGACTTTGGTGTTACGTCTCAGTTCAGTTTTAGAGCACGCTCAAGGTTGGGGGGCCAAGGGTGCTCACCAAGCACAGTGAGGCGGGCAGTGCCCGAGCGCACAGCCCCGGCGTCATTCCATGCTTTGCAGTGGTAGGTGCCTGCCTGGTCTGGCCGCAGCCCCCGCAGCTCCAGATGGGCCCTGTACCTGTGTTCTCGCCTGTCCAGCAGGGTCCCGTTGTGGAACCTGGGTGGCAGATGGGCGATACCATGGAGGCCCCTGGCGTAGGGAATGGGCTGCACCTGTCCCCAGCCCCACACACAGCCCAGGAAGGTTGCAGAGCAGCCACCTCCCTGTTTCCAAGGCACCACGTTATCAGGGGAAACCCAGTGGAACCACAATGCTGGGTGCAAGGCCCTTGGGCGTGGGGCAGGGCACTCACCAGGAGTACTTCTTGGGCAGGGGGATGCCTGAAGCCTTGCAGCAGAAGGTTACATTCTGTCCCGCCTCTCGCACTCGGGACTCGGGGTGCTTCACCAGGTAGGGCTTTTCTGGGGCCAAAGGTAGCAAAGGTCAGGGCCCTGCCCCATCCCAGCTTCTCCCAATAACCCTTCCCAATGGCAGGGCCCCATCCTTTCCCTTCCAGGAATGCCCTGTTTCACCTGTGCCTCTTCCGATGACCTCCTCATTCAATTTCATCCCAAGGCTGCTCAAAATGGCGCCCCATATTTTTTTTTAATTTTAAGTACGCTCCGTGCCCAACATTGGGCTGGAACTCATGACCCTGAGATCAAGAATCACACGCTCTGCCCACTGAGCCAGCCAGGTGCCCCAAAATAGTGCCCCATTTTTTCTTTCTTTTCTTTCTTTCTTTCTTTTTTTTTTCTTTTTTTTTCTTTCTTCTTTTTTTTTTAAGAGAAAGAGAATGTGTGAGCAGGGAGGGGCAGAAGGAGAAGAGAGAGCTTCATAAGCAGGCTCCACACTCCCCATGGAGCCCAGCTCGGGGCTTGATCTCATGACTCTGAGAACATGGCCTGAGCCAAAATCAAGAGTCACTTAACTGACTGAGCCAACTAATCTGACTGCCCCCATCTTAATGCTTCCCTCTGCAAGTCCCTGTCTCACCTAGTACCTTCTCCAATGTCTCACATTTTATTCACTCCCTCTGTGACACCATATTTAGTGTTATGCCTTCTCCAATGTCCATGTCACTTCTTATTTCTTCCCCATTGACCTCATGCTGTATCGCATCCTCCAAAGTACTTGGCGTCATCCAGAATTTCCTTCTTAGCTTCTCAGAAACCCCCTCACCCTCCTTGCCAGGAGGCACTTACCCAACTTATTAAGGACAACAGTGACCACAGCAGAGATGGAGCCATTGGCCTGGGCCTGGCCCAGGCCTGCAGAGAAGCCATCCATCTGGGCACTGACGTTGGCCCGGCTACTGGCACAGACTCCAGGCATCCGGAAGGTTCCATGGGCATCAGTGATGGCGGTAGTGCCAGACCAGTCTCTCAGGGAGACCCTGGCTCCTGGCAGCGGACGCCCAGATGGGGTGACCACCAAGCCCAGAAGGATGTGCTCAGGGCACCCGCAGGTCTTGGAGCTGCACCCTGGGGGACACAGGGAAGCAGAGGGACAGGGGAGCCTCTTCACTCCCTCCTGGGGCAGGCCTTCCACTCAGTCACTCAGCAAAGATGCCAAGACACTCCCCTTTGTGCCCCTCAGAGGCCTCAGCATGGCCCTGCTTGGAACAACCCTTAGTGTGAGTGGGGATATGTGGTTGAGTAGTCAGAACTGGGGCAGAGGGAGGGACCTGTGGTCTGAGGGATAGGGAAAATGCCCTGGAGGAGGGGACAGGAGAGGGGACTCTCACAAGACAGAGAGGCTCCTTCCAGCAGGAAAGAAAATGTCCAGCAGGGGCTGGGGGCCCATTTAGGGGTTGGGTCTTGGGCTCAGAACATCTCCCTCCCCTCCCAATCCTGCGGTTTCTCCATAAAATGGAAAATTCCGCTGGAAACTTCAGGGCAGAGGCGTTAGGAGGGCAGAGCCAGGCGGGGTAGGGTGGGGACCCCACTACCCCATTGGCCACCGTGCTCCCCCACCCTGCCATGGGCTCTGCGGGTGCAGTCTCCAGACCGTGTTTGTGGAGCCCAGGCGGATCGGAATTTCCAGTCGCCTCCTGGCTGGCCTGGTGTCTGGCCCTGGGAGGGCTTGGGCATGGTGTCTGCCAGGGTGTGAGCGTGTGTCCGCGTAGGCGTCGGGGCCGGTGGGGGCTGTGAATGCTACGCGTGTGCACCCCAAATCCGTGAGCCAGCTTCTGTGTGTGTCCGCGTCCATGAGGCCATACAGACACTCAGTGGTGCACCCAAGGTAATGCCCACTGGATCCACACACGCCTGTACGCGACCCTCAAGGCATCCACCCATCCAGATGTACGCATTCACCAATGCTCCTCGGGGCCCCAGAAGGGAAAGAAGGGCCAGTCTCCATGTGGTCCAAGTTCTGGCCCTCCAGGACCCACCTCTTCCCTTCCACCCCTCTGCCCCATCAGGCTCCAACCCAACCTGCCTCTGCCCCCCCAGGTACCCTTCAAAACTGGCCGCATCCAGCCCCCGCCTCTAACTCAACACTTTCCTCCAGGCCCCATCCCTCCTACCTGGACATGTAGGCCTTACACACTTCTGAGCCTCCACGGGACGCCCCGGACACGCATCCCCAGCCGGGTTTGGGCAGCGACGGCGGCGCAAGCGACGCCCTGGCCCGCAGCTCCCTGAACAGGGACCCCACGGGCCCCACGCGCCCCACGTGGCCTCTGCGGTAAGGACGGAGAGGGGGGAAGGTGAGGCGGCCGCCCACCCCAGGGACTGCGCCTCTTTGGAAATCTGGTAACAATGTGGGACTGGAGGGTGCCCCCACCATGTTCATCCGAGGGTGGGTATACCCCAGACAGAGGCCCTGCCCACTGCCCCCATCAGTTGTTCCCCAGGCGCACCTGTTGAAGGCGCGGTTGAGGCACCGCCCCACTTCCCCCAACCCCAGATGAGCTCCCTGAAGTTAGCCCTGCTGTTCTCCCTGCATCCCTCACATAGTTGGGGTCAAAACACGCCCCCACAGAACGGAGTGACATATGAACAAATGAGGGCAGCAGGAGGGAAATGGGCTGCTGGGGATCCCTCCTGTGCCCCACCTGGGCCCCTATTGGCAGGCCCTCCCTTCGAAAGCCCTGCCCCTATCTGATTTTGCCGGCTCCTGAGGCCTCTTCCTAGCCACGCCCACCCCCCCCCAGCCCTGCCCCTTCCTCCGGTACCATCCATTCAGGCTCCACCCACCTATGATCATACCCGGCCAATCCCCACTCTCTCCTCAGCATGACTGCTCGCGAGCCCGCCCTCTCCCTAGCCCCGCCCATCCCCTCGCAGGCCCCGCCCCAGACCCCGCCCTCACCGAGAGGGCAGCGGAAGCGCACATGGTAGTTGGAGCAGCGGCGGCCGCGGGGCTGCTCACGGTTGAGGCACCAAAAACCTCGCGTGGGGTTCAAGTGCACGCGCTCGCCTACAGTGGATGGCAGGGCCCAGTCCGTGGTGCGCGCCTCTAGCGCCAGCGGCCGCGGGCACACGCGCGCTGGTCCGTAATAGAAGCGGATGGCAGCCAGGCTCTCGAAGTCGCCATCGCCGCCGGGGTGGTCCACGTTGAACCAGGACGTCCACTCGCTGGCCTCTGCGGGAACCGCATGCGCTGGGACCCGGGCCGCAGCCTGTCGGGCCCCATCAGTGCATGCGGGGGCCCGGGAAGCTGCCTACCCACCCCCATCTCCCAGGTAAGGGCCTTACCCTCTGTCTAAAATGGTCACCCCACACCCAATGCGCACGGGCTGACGCAGCCCGCCCATGACCTCGCCCAGATCCAGGGTACTCGGGCAGAAGGAGTTATAAAGGGATCCCGGGGGGCGGGAGTGGGGGTTTGGCCTCTCCTAGCACCAGCCCCACTTCTGCTGCCCAATTCTTGAGCTTGCCCATCGGTGCAGGCTGACATCTTGCCACGCTGACATCTTGCCACTGTCTCACCAGTCCCCAACCTTAGAATTGAGCCTGCCCCCATCTCAGAATTCAGAACCCCTGAGGTGTGAGGAGGTACAAGGGCAGCAGGAGGAGTTGGGCCTGAGACTAGCCCTAGCTGTGGCTTTTCATCGCCTTGGCCACTCCAGGTTAGAGCCAGCTGGGCCCTTGCTCACTGCTGGGGAAACCCACCAGGCAACCTCTGTTTCACAGAAGCCACAGGTGGGAAGGGCCGGGCCTCCCAGAGCTCAGATTCCGCTTCCATCAAACCTCTCCCCACCACCACCACTAGGGGGTGCTCACTCCTTTCCTGAATTGAGAGTGAATTTCCCAGCTAGGAAACTAGAGACCCAGGTTCCAGAACTAGAGGTCTGGAATCCACTGGAAGCATCCTGCATGCTGCTTCCAGTAGGGGGGAGGAGGCACCCCCCCTACACACACCCTCCATTGGTTTCCTCCTTGACAAACAGCCTGAACTCTCACCCCTCTGCTTCCAAAATTTAGACCTCTTGGGACACCTATGCCAGGGGCCACCATGTCTGGGGACCAGGATGGTACGGGGCCCTTCTACCTCTTGTGTCCCGTCCTCACATGACCCCACCAGCCAGAGCTCGCACAGTAAGTCCACAGCAGAGACAGGACTTGGACCCGGGATGACTCACCTTCCCAGTCCTCCAGGGCTGGTGAGGACTGTCCAGGGCGCAGTGACGGACCTTCAAAGCCCCAGGCAGCTGCTGTGGGCTCCTCAGGGGGGCTGGTGACTGTGGATAGGGTGAGGAGTGTGAGGGGGGAAGGAAGCATGCTGATGGAGACTTCTGTGATCTGCTTCTGTGCAAGGTGCTCTCATGATCATCCCCATTTCACAGGGAAGAAAATTGAGGCTCCGAGAAGCCAGAAGCTAACTCTGGCTGACCCCAAGGAATGCAGGACCTCCCCCTCCCTTTCCAGGCGAAGCTTCCCTGTGACCCCCTACACCCAATCTTCTGCAGCCCCATCCCTTTCTCTGCCCTGGCCCAGATGGCATGGACTGGGGAAATCTGTGCATCTGCCCTGCTCCCCAGACCCAGTTCTCCCTGAGTGTACTCGGTGGCTGTGAGCTCAGTTGGTGGTGACTCTGCATTCCCCTTCATCCATTTGCTGGCTGGAAGTCCTACCCTCCGTGTGCCTTCCATCCCTTCACTTGGGGCCCCAGCTGGCATTGGGAAGTCTTTGGAATCCAACCTGGCGTCTCTGACCTTGAGTTATCTAAGATAGCCAGGCTGGACGATGACCTCAGACAAATCCTTTCCCTGTCTGTGTCTCAGTCTCCTCATCTGAGAAATGGATCCAGTGCCCTCTCCACTGGGTGTTCCAGAGATGGGAGTTTTTCTGAATGGTGTGTGTGTATGTGGAGGAGGAGAGAAGTTATGTGAGGGGGACGGCTCAGGCCCCTTAATCCTGGGCAAGTATCGGGTGCTTCAGAATCCAAATGCTAGCGCTGAGACAGGCCCCCTGGGGTCCCCGGGGAAGCCAGGGGGAACCTAAGGTTCATATCCATATTCCAAGTGCCCCTACTTCTCTTTGAGGAGGGAAAAGAACAGAGAGGTTTCCTCCCCTCCCCAAGGGACCATCTCCCCGAAGCCCCTCACTCCAGGGGGACCCGGGCCTGCGGATGTGAGCGGATCCCCCGGTTCTGCTCCGGAAGCGGCTGCAAGCCAGGCGGACTGCCAGGGTGCCTAGGGGTCTGGGCTGGGGTCAAGGGGCGCCTCACCTCGAGCCCCCGCCAGGTGCGCGGCGGCGACAAAGAGGCAGAGTAGTGGCGGCAGTGATGCCATGGCCGGGTCCGAGCGTCCGAGGGAGGGTCCGGGCTCCAACGCGCGCGCGGATCTGACTCCCGCGGGTCGGGCAGCCACAGGGGCTGAGGGAGGGGGCGGGAGGGGACTGCAGGCCACGCCCCGTCCAGGCCACGCCCCACCCGAGCCAAGCTCCCTGGCCCTGGGTGACTTCGGTGCGCTAGCAACCTCTCCGGGTCGCCCCCTTCGGTGCGTCCGGCTGTGCCTCCGCCCTCAGGCTGGCCTGCATTCCCCCCGCCCCCCCCGCCCCCTGTCGCCAGCTGGAAGTCCCTCCCTCAACCCACTCCATTCTCCACCTTGGGTCCCAAGCTGCCTGTGGGACGTGCCTCTCCTGGGACTAGAGCCTGAAGCTGCCCAAACACTCACGCTTTAGGCAGCCCTTTAGGCGGCGAGAAATCCTCCATCGGGTCTAACTTCAACCCCGTTGGCGTTAGGCCACCCCGAGCGGGCTGGAAGTCCCACCCTGAATCTACCCTCTACTCCTCTGGCGCTAGTTTTCTCGGCCAACGGGGAAGTCCCCCTTGACGACTACCCTCCGTCCCTCGGCCTGCGCTCTGCGGGACGGGGGCAGTTCCCTTCCCGAGGCTGCCCCCCGGGCGGCGAACCCGGCGCACAGAGAAGGAGGAGGCGAGGTGGTGGTGGGACGTCTGTTTATTGGCGCGGGTCCAAGCCGCTTGGGTGCGGGCGCGGTTACAGCGCCGCGACGCAGTCGGTGCCGGTGTATCCCGGCAGGCGCAGAGCGAACTTTCGGCGCACGTCGTCGGGCACGAACCTGCCGGCCACGAAGTGGTGGCGGCCGGAGAAACGGCCCGCGCAGGGCTTGGGCGCGGCGAGCGATACCAGCACGTCGGGCCGGAGCCCATCTTCGGTGTCGCCGCCGCCGGTCTCCGCGTCCCAGCCTGAGGGAAGAGGGGCGGGAGGGGAGGGAATCGGGCGCTGGGAGGGGTGCTTGCCTGCAGACTTGCCTGCTCACCACCCACTTCTCCTTCCCCATCAGATCCAGCCTCTGCTCTCTGACACGTGCGTCTTGGTCAGACCTGCCTCCCCACAGAACTGGGCCTCCGCCCTCAGACCAGTGTCTCCCTCTCCTTGGAGATGTTTCCCTCCTCCTCTGACCAGATCGTCTGCCCTCATATTCTTCTGCCCCTGCTCCCCTCATGCTACTAATTTTTTCTTCTCTATCAGACTCAGCCTCTGCCTTTAGAGTCCATCATTTCCACATGCTGCCCTTTCCCAGTCAGACCCATGCCTCTGCCTTCTGACCCAGCATCTGTCCCCATTACCCCCTATCAGTCTTGAGCTTCCCCACTTAGGCTAGAGGCTCTTTCCTTTGGGGCTTCCTAGCCAGCCTTCCCCCTCTAACAGATCCCCATTCTCCAGGCAGAGGACAGACTTGCCTCCATCCTTAGGCAGGCCTCCCCCATAAGGTCTGTCCCCTTACTCCCAGTCCTTGTCTCTGATAGAATGTGGCCCGAGTGTTCATCATCTTCCTTCTGACTAGAGACTCTTCCCTCTGACATCTTTGTCTTCGCCCTCAGACTAGCTCTTGCCTTTTGACAGGACCCCACCTCCTCCTTCACTGTGCCCCAGCCTCTACTGCCTCTCAAATGAGCCTCTTCCTTCAGACTAGGGGCCTTGCCTTCTGCTCTGCTTGTGATCAGAGTCTGGAGCCACTAACTAAAAGCCTCCTCCCTCTGATTTTAATTCTTCCTTCTGTGACCCTAGTCCCCACCCTCAGACCAGACAGCCCATCTCTTTGTAGCTAAGCCCCACTCTGTGGCACCCTGATGGGATGGCCCTGAGGTCTTGCAAGCTGGGGGACATCCCCTGAGTGTGGCCACCCCCGTGGAGGGTCCGGCTGGCCAGCAGCTGTTTGTTCCGTCTGCCCGTCGCCTAATGGCTCCAACAGGCGTGGGGCGGCGGCCAGGATGGGCGAGGCCTTTGCCGAGTGAGCTCACGTCTGCCCAGGCAACTGGGCCAGGGTGGGCAGCGGGCATGCTGGGCTGGGTGGGGGGAGGATGGGACAGGGGATCACCTAGGCAGCAGCCTCAGTCTTCCCTATCTGAGGGATGGGCATGACCCTCACCCAGAGTGCAGGAGCTATCCATGCAAGGGAAACTGAGGCTCCGAGACAGGCTAGGGCCACCAGAAGCTGGGGTGCAGAGGGCCCCCACCCAAGCCCCCCACAGACCCTCCCCTTCCTGCCTGGCTTGCCTGAGGGAATGTCCAGGCTCACAAGGGGTATGGACAGCAGCTTGAGTGTGGCCAGCGCCCGCGTGCAGGGGCCCCCGATCTCTCCTGGCTGCACGCCAGGGCCCAGCACAGCGTCCACCACCAGCCCGTAGGCATCGTTGATGAGCTGGACCTGAGAGAGCAGGCAGGGTTAGGGGGCAGCCTTTGGGCACCATCCCCTCCTTCCCCCCATCATTTGCCACCAAGAGCTGACCTCCGTGGGCAAATAGGACAGAAAGGGGATGTCCATCTTCTCACACTGAGTGGTCAGGTCCTGGTGCAGCCCATCCAGTGACCGTGTAGGGTAGAAGATGGTCGGTTCGTACTCCTGGTTTGGGGGGGGTGGGGCGTGGGGGCCACAGAAAGGAGTCAGCACTGGGGGCCCTTCCAGGCTTCCTGCTGGGCCTTAGCCCCCAGACCCGGATACCAGGCAGAAGACCCTGCCTGGGGCAAGCACTGGGCTTATTCTGTCACCTCTCCAGCCTCAGTGTCCCCCAGACACTGTCAAGGAAGCAATTTCTGCCAGGACAGGGTTGAGGGGGTGACGCTGGGAGACCGAGGGGCTCCTAGCTACTCACAAACATCCGCAGGTGCCGCGCACAGACCAGCCCCACCGCCCCATTCTGCTCCGGGCCACACACGACCAGCACTGTCCTCTGCTTCCGGGAGAGAGTAGGCAAGGGGAACACCTGGCAGGGGGCACAGCAAAGGCAAAGGCATGATGTCTGGAATTCCTCCTTGTTTTGGTGGGGAAACTGAGGCCTGGAGTAACAGAAGGGAGGGGCATGGGCGTAGAGAAGAGGCACTGTGGGCAAAGGGCATGGCCTCTGGAGGCCTCGGGCTCCTCCTTGGAGATGCAGAGTCCCTGCTTCAGGCTCTGCCAAGCTGGAGCAGGAAAACGTGCCTTCTGCCACCACCCGGCGCCCGGAGTGCGGTTTGTTTATCCTCGGCCTGAGTTGCAGACATTCTTCCACCTTTTTCCACCGCAGTGGCTGCCCCTCCCCCGCCCACGTTTCCAGGCCTCAGCCCCTCCCAGAGGCCCCAAAGCTGGGGGTGGTGAGGGGGGGTTACTTTTCCAACCCAAGATGCCCTGTCTCTCTCCATCTGCCTCTGCCATCACGTCACCTTTCTCCGTATCTCTGACTGTGTCTATCCCCATCTGTCTCTCCGTAGTCTTTTGATGCCTGCGTCACTGTGTCTCTCTTTGTCTCTGTCTCTATCTCCCAGACTCTCTGCGTCTCTGTGGGCCTGTGCCTCCGTCTCTTTAACGCAAGAATTGGGAGCACCGGTGTTCCGGTCTCAGCCCTGCCCTGACTCTCTGCATGGCCTCAGCCCCCTGTCCTCTCCCAGGCTCCTTTGGCCTCTATCAGACAGGAATGACCATGGCACTGACAGGCTCATGGGGCCTCTCTGAGACAGGGGCCCCAGGGGCCTGGCCGTACTCTAACCTCCAGCTACACAAAGGGCTAGGTACACCTTTTTTTTTTCTCCTCCCCAAGGTCTCAGCGAGGTCCTGACCCACCCCAAGGGTGCTGTGACCCCACCATGCCAGGCCCAGAGCCCGAGACCAGAGGCCAGGGGAGGGCGACGATGTCTGGGCTGGCTGGGACAGAGAGCCTTCTAGACAGACTTGGGGCTTTCAGGGCAAAACCAAACGACCGTTCTGTCGGCAAGGACGAGGCAAGAGTTTACCCCGCTGGGTTTACTGGTGGGGCTTTGATTGTCATCATTTCCTTCTCCTGCGGGAGCTTTGCCCAGGATAGGTTTCATTTGGAAAAAGTAACATTTAAAAACAAAAACAAAAACAGAAAACCTGAGCCTACCTAAAGAAATTGTGTTTAACCAAAGTCGGCAGTGGTGACAAGAAGGGGAGGAAGACCCGGAGGAAGAGAAAGGTTACGTGCTGGAGCCCCGACACCACCGGGCACTTCTCTAAGGCATTTGGGTTTATTAACTGGTGTCAGTTTATTTCGCTTGTTTTGGAGGAAACAGGCCCGCGGTTTGACACCCGTGGCCAAAAGCCCTGGAAGGCAGCGTCGTCATCACTTATTACTGTCGTGTCCTTTGGAGGCACCTCGAAACTGGGGCTTTGCCCCAGATCCAGACAGCTCTGCTTACTTACCCCCTGGGACCTACCCTTTGCAGGCCACTCCCTGCACCTGGACCTCAGTTTCCCCATCTGCAGCATGGGGTTATTTGGAAGCACTCCGCCTGCAGGAACCGACGTGTCCCTTACTGAGATCCAGGAGAGGGCAGAGGCGGGTGGGCACGAAGGGACCCAGGAGCATCCTGCCGCAGCCTCAGCTTCCGAGTCTCTGGGGACTCCTATCTCTGCCCTGACCCTCACTGACACTGGGGTCTTGGGCCCCTGCCTTCTAGACCAGCGATGAGTCTCTCCAGGCCTCAGTTTCCCCATCTAAGTGATGGGCTGGAGAAGCTCCACACAAAAAGGGGCTTCCTGAACCATTCTGGCCACCTGGGTCATGCAGCTAGCTAGGCCTCGGCTCTAGGGGAAGCTGGCCATCTGGATGGGGTCAAGGTCAAGGATCAGGGGTCAGATACCTTGGTCACAGCCACAGCACTAGCATGGCCACACAACTCCACCAGCTGCTGCCGCCCAAAGCGGTAATCCTCCAGTAACTCGCGCTCCAGGGCGGCCGCCTCCGCAGTGCTGGGGGACAGAGTGGGGAGAGACGCTCAAAGACACAGAGAGAGAAAGACTTAGAGAGGCTCGGATGGAACCAGTAACGTTCCACCAACGTTCCCAACCAGGGCCTAGCTCCACCTCCAACCTCAGTTTCCCCATTAGACATGCATGCGGTAGAGTGGATCCGCGGTAGGTTTAAGCCGAAGCCCAAGGTACGGGCGCCCTCTGGTGGTCGAGGAACGCGTGGTGACGCATGTTCCACAGCCCCAAAGCGGGAGACGAGCTCCGCCCAGATGCGCCCCTCCGCCCCGCGCCCCCCGCCCGCCCCCGCCGCCGCGGGAAGAACCCAGAAGGAGGAATGCGGCGGAAGAGACAGATGAGGGTGATGGACGAGTTTCATGCAAGGGAAGACACTAACCAAACTCCAGAACACTGGGGGGGCCGACTGGGCTGGGGGAGGAGGTGCCTGAGGGAGGTGGAGTTAGATGGCTCACTTGGGGGTGGGATGGGGAGCCCCCAGCTATCAGACCTATTGGTGACCCTTCAATAATTGTGGCCAGAGAGATGGGGCTTCCTCATTGGAGGTGAAGGTCTGCCATCAACTCCCTAAGTGACTGGGATCTGTCACATCTGAATTTTGCTTTCTCTTTTGCGAAAGTGAAGACCGGGTAGGCTAGATAATTTTCAAGGCCCATTTCAAAATGCAAACACGGGTCCCATTACTTAAGAATTTTAAGATAATGACAGCCAAGTGTTGGACTCTTCCAAGAGCAAGGACCAAGCTAGGCCTGGCTTAGGGGCCTTCCAAAGGGCATGGGCTTAGTGGCTGCAGAGAGAGCTGCAGAGAGACCTGGCATTGAAGAGTGGAAATGGTCCTCACTCCAGAATCAGGGGTTGGGACAGCTGGGCAGGGTTTATGGCCTGATGCCAGCTTCCCCTAGTGGGACTCTTTCCTGCTGGGGAAGAGCACCTACCCCTAGCCCAGCAGGCCCTAGTAGTAGTAGTAGTAGTGGTAGTAGTAGTAGTAGCAGGAGCAGTAATAGGTCTGGAAAATATTCAGCCTCTCAGAGAAGCCAAGCGGCTTGCCCAGGGTCCTGCAGGAAATCTAGTGAGAAAGCACACTTCTACCCTTGGTGTCTGTTTCCAGAGCCATACAGGGTGCGAGCAAAGCAGCAGAGGCAGACCTACAGATAGCAGAGGTTTCTTGGGATGAATCTGTAGTTTCCTTCAATTCTGTGAGTGGGAGACCACAACATTCCTGCCAATTTTGCAGCCTGATCAGGCTGGGCAGCGGGAGGGGCATAGGTAAGGAATGGAGACTGCTGCGGGAGGGGGACTCGGGGTGTGGGCTTCCTGGAGGAGGTGGCCTGGAGCACTATGGGAGGTAACTCACACGCAAGAACAGTGAGGGCCAAGGCCCTGCCGTGGGAATGAGCTTGGCAGATGGAAGGGACAGAAGTGAGGCCAGTGTGGCTGGAGCCGAGCAAGGGAAACTAAGAAACTGGGTCAGAAAGACACTTTGGGGGCCCGTGCACATAGGGGGGATTGAGGCTTAGGGCAGGAAGGACACATGCCCTGAGTCACCCCAGCCCACCAGAGCCAGATTCAGCCCCACCTGACTTCAGATAAGGTTGGAGGACCAGTTGGGGAAAAGGATGGTGGGTCAGATGAAGAGCAGGCTGGCCCAGCTCCCAGGAAAAGAACATTGGAGAAGGTGTGTTTGGAAATGTGGCTCATTCCTCCACCTTCATCCGTGACAGCTTTGCCTGCTGCCCCCACAGGAGGGTGAAGGGAAGATGAGAATGGTGGGTGCACTACCCATTCCTCTTCTTCCTCTGTCCTGAAGCTTTGGCCTCAGGCCACCACTTGGAACATTATCTTCCTGCCTAACTGATCATTAGAGTGATAATGGGGAGGATGGTCCAGGCTAGGAGCCTGGGGGTGGGGACGCTGGCAGCTCTGGGTGGGGTCTGAGTGGGAATTAGGGCAGGTCTGGGGAGGGGGACAGGCAAGACCACTGTGGGATTGGCCAGAGGTGGGGGGCTTGGTTATGAAGTGCCTCTTCATTCTCCTGATGTCAGTCCCCAGATGAAAGGAACTGTAAGGATTTCCCCAAGAGCACCAGGATTTCCCCAAGAGCACAAAGAAGGTGACTTGCTTTCAAAGGAACTGGGCCTGTTCTCCCAAAATGCTTCCAGGAGTGGGCTCTTTTGGAGGTGAAGCCCTGGGGCCAGGTTGCCCATGGCAGACCCTCCCTGCTCTCTTGGCTCCATCTGCTTCTCCATCTTCAGGCCTCTGCCCACCAGCCCACCACCACTGCTCACCTGGCTGCCTACAGAAGTCTCCCAAACCGGCCCCCAAACTCCTCCTCAGTACAAGAGCCATGGGGGCTTTGAAAACCTAAATGCCATCACATCACCACTTGCCTCAAACCTGTTTTTGGCTCCCCAATATTCAGAGAATATTCAAATTCCTCACTACACCTACGCACCCATTATGTTTCTAACCTGTCTCCTCTCCCCTTGCTCTCCACGTTCCACTCCTACCCACCCACAGTGCCCCATCACTCCTCAGTTGGCCTTTGAGACCCTGCACAACTGGCCCCACCATCCCCCACGCCAGGTGAAATCACAGCTCCAGCTTCCTTCTGTCTAGGACGTGCTGGGTCTACAGGCTCAATCTGGACATCAGCCAGTCACCGGACAAGATCTGCCCTGAGGGCGTGAGTGGAGAGTGGGCAAAGGAGGACAGAGAAGGGGATGTCAGATGAACGTGCTGTGAGTGGTTTACACTGAGGTCCACAGCCCTGCTTGGGGTCCCAGATCGCAGGGCCTTAAAGGAGGACACAACATAACTCAGGATGAGGTGAGAGACACAGCCACAGCTGCCAGCTAGAGACCCCAAATCCAAGCAAACTACTGATAAGTGGCCCATGCGTTCAATGTGTTCATCTCCCTAGCCTTGGCTCAGGCAGTGGTTTCCGTCCCCCGGCCTCAGTTTCCTTCTCTGATCCAGGAGACAGTAGCAGGTGGGCCACCAGGAGGGGTGTGAACGTTTGAGGAGCTAAGACCTCAGCTCTTCCCAGCTCAGGATGAAGGGTGGGCGCTCCAGGGTCCCCAGGACAGATGGAAAGGGGCGGTGGGCCTGGACTGAGTTGAGGGGTGATGGGAGAGCTTCTAGCGGTGCTGCTGAATGATTCACTTAGGGGTGAGCCCGAGGCAGATGCAGTTTCTCTGGCAACGAAGCTTAGGAGGCGTTGGCAGCAGTGGGCTGGAGGCTTCCTCTCTCCAGCGAAAGGGGGGGCCTTGGAAACCCCCAGGCACCCTCCTGGCCATGCCCCTGCCTCTGATCCATCCAGCCCGTGAGACCCCCCCTCCCAGCCATGCCCTGCCCATGATGCCCATGGCTCCAGGCTGCATCCCTGCCATGCACGGTATTTGGCATCCCCATCCCTGGCTGACCTGAGGAAATGCCGCTCCTCGGGCGCCTCCGCTGAGTCCGGGCGGGCTGCGCTGCTCATGGCCAAGGTGAGCTGGTGCGCGGAGCCGGTGGCCACAGCCACAGCCTTTTAAGAGCATCCCAGGGCACGGGGGCTCCTCCCCGCCCACCCCGTGCATCTGCCAATCAGGCGGCGCCGCAAAGGCGCTGCGCGTGGCCATTGGCTGGCGGGCGCAGGCTGACTTAACCCTTTCGTGCCAGGAGTGTAGCTGCCTTGGGAATGGAGGGAAATGAAGTCTGGACAGGCAGGGACCCCTGAAATGGGGTCCTGGCCTGGGAGCAAGGGGCCTCGCCTCTGGCGCCCCTCCGTCCCATGCTCTGCTCTTTAGGTCCCCCACTCACTGATGTGCCCAGGGTGCGGGGTTGGGGGGCCAGCCCACCTGGCAACTTCTGCAGAGTCCCCAGGTTTAGACCCTGTGTCCCCAGGCCATGTGTAACCCAATGGGGCCCCACTCGCCAGTCACTCAGTCGCTGGGACACAGGCAGGCAGGTCTCCAGAGCATTTATTCTTTCCCAGTGGGGAGGGTGCAGGGGTCCAAGCGGTCCAAGGGGAGCGGCCCCCTACGTGTACCAAATGAAGCCATAGGTGGCGTCCACAATCTCCTCATTTGTACGCAGCCCATACAGCTCGCCCATCACGGGAGTCACCCAGCGCGTTGTGTGGAACACAGACTCACCCACCTGTGGAGACGGCGGGATGTAAGTGAGGGTGCAGCTACCCCCTCAGGCCCACACTGCCTAGGGGGACCCCACTAGGCCTGGTGGCCACTGTGTCTACACCAAAAGCTGCTGTCTCCCCTTCCTCATGCCTGGCCCCCAGGACCCCTCTCAGCCTCAGGCTTCCCATGGGGGGCTGTGTTTCTGCGGGGGCCGGCACCCCCGCCCTCCCTGCCCAGGACCCACCTTCCAGTCGGGCACATCCTTCATGATGATGGCCTCCTCCTCCAGGTTCTCTCGAAGCATCTGCAGGACCCTGCAGGGATGAAATGAGAGGTGGGGGACAGGCCTGAGCACCCCAAGGGGCCCCTCCCTGTTCCACTCCCCATCACCTCCTGCCCCTGCCAGCCCTGCACATGCTGTCTCCTCTTGTCCCTTCCTTCCCCCTACAAACTTTACTGTCCTCCTGCTGCAACCTCAATGTCTCCTCCTCCAGGGAACCTTCCCATTCTGTCCCTTGGGTCCCCACTTTAAGTCAAGTTTGGGGCCCTCTCCAAGGGTGACGGCAGCCCCACGTATGCAAGGACACAGCTGTCAGTCCCCATATGCACTCCGGCCAGGTCCTGCACTGCAGCATGGGGCACTCAGGCCTGCGAATTTCCAACCCTGGTCCCAGTGGCCCCACCTCCGGTCCTTCTCTGCCTGCAACAGTGGCATCAGCGCGATGCGGGCCTCAAAGTCCTCAATCTGCAAGCGCCTGCAAAACCCGAGAACCAACAGATTAGATCAGGCTGGAGCTGGGGGCAGACGTGGCCTCAGCCCCACAGGGTGACGCGTGGGAAAGGGGGCTGGAGGAGAGGCAAGTGAGCGCGGCAGGGCTTGGCAGTGAGCTCTACCTGCCACAGGATGAGAGGCGGAGGGGGCGGGGAGGCACGCAGCTGGCACAGGCACTGATCCACAAGACTGCTGGCTTCACACTTTCTTCCCAGTTAAAAACTTTATTTCTTAATCCTAAAAATAGCCCTGGCCTGATGACTGTGGTGAACCGGGGACAGGGGATGGGACCTTCATCACCCGACTCTGGGCCTTCAAAACCGTATCCTCTTCATGTCAAAATAACCCTGGAGTGTGAGCCCAGGGCAGACAGCTCCGTGTCTTTGAGCCACCAGCCACATCTATGCTGCGGGAGTGGCACCCAGCGATGTGGCCCAGCAGGTGGCCCCTGGCCCTGTCCCCTCATCACCAGGAATCTCACAGCCATACGGGGAAGGGTGTGGATGAGCGTCAGCCTCCCCCCTCCCCTCCTCCAGACCCACAGGAGCAGATGCCCCCATCACAGCCACACAGTTGTCACTCCAGTGGCCAGACCTCTGCACATGGTCCTGGGGAGCCGGACCTGGTTTGAGTGTACCCCACGCCGAGTACCTGACACATGGGGGCCTTCTCCAGCACTACCCTCAGGGACTCCCAGACTTGTGGGGGGCAGGTGACCTCAAGCGGGTGCTGAGGACACATAGCACACCGGGGTAGGGTGGGGCAGGGCAGCTGAGAGGCAGCAGCCAGAGTCCAAACGGAGGCCACCCTCTGCCTTGGTGCCTCTGGCCCCACGTGCTGACACGACCACCATCTATGCCTTTGTTGTCCTCACTGCCTGGTTACCACTGGCAAAAATGCACTAGGAGAACACGTCCTGGGCCCACCCATCCACCTCCACCTGATGCGCCGTCCTAATCCAGACCCTCGGTTCCTGAGCAGCGGAGGCCAAGGGACATCTGGCAAAGAGCTCCTCGCTTACGAGTCCTTTCTTCAGTGGAAAGCTCAGAAGTGGACTCAGTCCAGGTCCCCACTTCCTGAGTCCCCAGGGGCTGAGGAAGGGCCCCACGGGTACCAGGGGCATCCCGCCCGGGGAGGCCTGGGGCCTACCTGCGCTCGCGGTTCCACCTCATCATGCTCCAGTACCCGAACAGCAAGGTCCCAATGCCCACAGCGAACATGCTGTAGCCTGTGGGGGGAGAGGCCACCAGTCAGCACCCGCCCGCGGGACAGGCCGCTCTCTGCAGCTTCTTCCTGGGACGTGCACTCCACTTGCCGTGCAAACACACCAGAAACACTGACGCAGGATAAGGTCAAAGAATTAGTGACCTTCTCCTAGAGATGGCCAGTACTGTCTCTAGTGCATATTTCCTCAGATTATTATTTTTTTGTCCCCGTGGAATGTCCACCGGCCCCTTCCCTTGGACCCCCTCCTCCAAAACTGCAGACCACTCTTCAGTCCGTTCCCCCAGCCTGTGGGCAGGGACTCCAGGCTGCCTCAGCTTCTCTCTGACAAGGGAGGCAGCTGCAGCCGCCACACCTCTGCCCACCATGGAACAGTTTCCAGAAGGTACAGTGTGGGCAGGGACTGCAGGAGAGCCCGAGGGTCTTGCTATTCATGGCTGGGTGGCCGCCACCCCACGATCTTGTGGAAGGTTGTTTGGCTCCCAGTTGGCGGGTGCTTCCACGGGGCAGGATGGTGTCTACTGCTGGGTCCAGCTCCACGGTGGCGCCTGGCTGCCTGGGCCACTCCTCTGAGTGCTGCCCACAGGGGGCTGGATGGGCTGCGGGAGGCAGGCAGTCCCCTGCGGGGCCCACGCAGCAGCCCATGGGATTCCTGACGTGCTGCCTCCTGGCCCAGCAGATCGAGCCCCCTGCCTGGGCACCAGGGGACAGAGGCTGCCATGAATATTTACTGACACCAGCAGGCACCTGCACTGTAATTCTGATGGACAGGCTGTGGGCCTGCTGCGGTCTTCATGGAGGCCCTAGCTGCCTGTGGCCTGGCTGGGGCCGGCTCACCCCATACCCTCTAATCTTTCAAGCTGTGGTCTCTTCCCGGGATGGGTCTCATGGTTGCTGGGAAAAACGGACAAGCTCGGCCAGGTTGAGCTCAAGTTAACACCTAGGAAATGACCAGCAAATGGTGGGTGAGGCCACTCCCTAGGATTTGGGGACAGGGGGGGCAAAGGGGCTCTGGGAGTCCTGGCCCTGCTCGCAGCCTGCAGGGAGCCTCTGTTGTCCCTGTCCTCGTCTTTCTTCTTCAGCTCAGTTCAGCACACGGTTTTTCTGGCACCTTTGCTGGACCCAGAGATGCATAAGAAACTGGTTAGATTTTTCAGCTCCTCAGTCAAGCCTGTTAAAAACATTAGCTCAGGGGCTCAGTTGGTTAAGCGTATGCCTTCGGCTCAGGTCACGATCTCAGGATCCTGGGATCGAGCCCCGCATCGGGTGCCTCTCCCTCCAGGCTCGTGCTCTTATTCCCAAATAAATAAATAAATCTTTAAAAAGCAAAACAAAATGAAACAAACATGAGCTCAGAGTAAGACATTTCCATATTACAGGGGGCAGGACAGCGAGGGCACCCTGGTTCCTATGCACAGAGGGAGAACCTCTCCTGGGAGGCTCGAGTGCCTAGGACCAGCTCCCAACGCAATTATGGCTCTTACACATGGCTGACCACCTGTGCCGGACAGAACATCCTAGAAGAGCTGCCTCTTTCTTTTCAGTAGCTATAGAGAAGCCCTGGGATCCTCTTCTTTTGACCCATCCCCAGGGCATCGGCCTGGGCTACCCTCATGGAGACCCCTTGTCTTCACACCAGGCACCCACATGTGGCCCACATGTAAGATCAATTCCAAGACAAAAATGGCCTTTACTGGGGCGCCTGGGTGGCTCAGTGGGTTAAGCCGCTGCCTTCGGCTCAGGTCAGATCTCAGGGTCCTGGGATCGAGTCCCACGTCGGGCTCTCTGCTCAGCAAGGAGCCTGCTTCCCTCTCTCTCTCTCTCTCTCTCTCTCCACCTGCCTCTCTGTCTACTTGTGATCTCTCTCTGTCAAATAAACAAATAAAATCTTTAAAAAAAAAAAAAAAAATGGCCTTTACGAACGTGCGGCTCTTTCTTGCTGACAGTGGAGAGGCTGAGACCCCAGACCCTCAGTGTGGGTCTGTGCTTCAGGACCTGTCAGTCCGGTGGGGGAGGCTGATTATGGTCACGCCCAGGAGTGGGTGCAGGCCACATCCTGTGTTCAGTTTCAGTATCTAACTTTGTTCAGATGGCGGCGCGACCCAAACGAAGGTACCAGTTCAATGGGGGTCCCATCCGAATTCCAACCTTCCCCCTTTACCTGCCCTACAGAAACTGAGCAGCCAATTGTGAAATTCATATGGAAATTCAAGGGCCCAGATTAACCAAAACAATTCTGAAAAACAACAAAGTTGGAGGACTCGCACTTCATAGTTTCAGACTTCACACACAGCTGTGTGTACAAGACAGTGCGGCATGGCATCAGGATAGACATGTACATCGATGGAACAGAGCTGAGAGTCCAAAAATAAACCCTCACATTTACGGTCAATTGATTCTGGACAAGGGTGCCAAGACAATTCAATGGGGAAAGAATAGTCTTTCAGCAAATTGGATAAGTGGACAGCCACATGCAAAAGAATAAAGTGTGCTTTTTTTCTTCCCCCATACACAAAAATTAACTGAAAATGGATCAAAGACCTCAATTTGAGAGCTAAAACTATAAAACTCTTAGAAAACAGATTAGTCAGTCTCTGTGACCTTGGATGAGGCAATGCCTTCCTAGCTAGGATGCCAGAAGCACAAGTGACAAAAGGAAAAAAAAAATAGACAAACTGGGCTTCGCTGAAATGAAAAACTTTTGTGCTACAAATGATGCCGCCAACAAGCCGGAAAGACAACCTCCAGAATGGAAGACAAGTCTCTGAAAATCCTCTCTCTGATAAAGGAATGGTAACCAAAATGTATAAAGAATTCTGTAAATTCAGTAATAAAAAAGATGAACACCCTGGGGCACCTGGGTGGCTACGTTGGTTGAGCATCCCCCCTTCTTGGTTTTGGCTGAGGTAGGTCATGGTCTCAGCATTATGGGATCAAGCCCTGCACCAGGATCCACACTGGGCACAGAGCCTGCTTAAGATACTCCCCACACCCACCCCGCACTTGCACACTATCTCCCTCAAAAAAAAAAAAAAAAAAAAAAAAAAAAAAGTTGAATGACCCAATTTAAAAAAAAATGGATAAAGGACTTGGATGGTATTTCTCCCTAAGAGCTATACAAATGGCCTAGAAACACATGAAAATATGCTCAACATCATTAGTAACCACGGAGATGCGAATCAAAACCACAATGAGACACCTCACACCCGTTGGGATGGTTAGAATTAAAAAAAAAAAGGAAAATAATGAGTGTTGTCCAGATGTGGAGAAACTGGAAATCCTGTAAAATAAATGCAGGAAGAAATGTACAACAGTACAGCCAATTTGGAAAACAGCTTGGCAGTTCCTCAAAACGTTAAATGTGGAGTTAGCATATGACCTAGCTATGCTATTGCTAGGTGAAATTTTCCCGCAAGAAAACCGAAACATATACCCACATAGAAGCTTGCACGGTAATGTTCACAGCAGCCAAAAGGTGGCAACAACTCAAATGTCCATCAAGTGGTAGATGGATACACAAATTGTGGTCCATTCATACAAGAATATTATTCAACCAAAAAAAAAAAAAAAAAAGCAGCTTTGAGACATGCTACACCATGCACGCTAAAAACGTCCTGCTGAGTAAAAGCAGCCAGACACCAGAGGCCACATAGAATAGGAGCCCATTTATATGAAACGTCCAGAACTGGCAAATCCATAGAGACACAAAACAGACTGCTAGTTGCCAGGGTTTGGGAGAGGGAGGATGGGGAGTGACTCCTCATGAATTTGGGGTTCTTTCTGGAGTGATGGAACTGTTATAAATTTATGTATTTACTTATTTAGATTTATTAATAGATTTATTTGAGGGAGAGCGCATGTGCTCACGCACACAGGGGGAGAGGCAGGGGCTAAAGAGAGAAACCCAAACAGACCCCCTGTGATGGCAGAGCTCCACACGGAGCTTGATCCCATGACTCTGAGATCATGGCCTGAGCCAAAACCAAGAGTCAGACACTTAAGCGACTGTGCCACCCAGGTGCCCCAGATGTGTTATAAATTTAGATCCTGGTGATGGTTATGCAACTGTGAACAGACTAAAAATCTGTGATTTGTATGCATGAAATAGGTGAATTATATGGTATGGTCTGTGAATTTCAAAAAAAAAAAGTTAAAGACGCAAGGGAAACAAAGAAAGGGCCACCCTCTGGGCACGAGAGTGGAGAGAAGAGAAATGAATGGAAAAGATGGAGGTAGCAGTCACTTCGGGAGCAGTGGGGATTAAAGGTGGTCTGAGCCAGCTCTGCTGGTTCTAGGACTCTAGGGGTGAGTGATCTGGGCAGAGAAGAGGGGAGTGGATGCCAGGCTTGTGCCTTACAGGAGCAGAGCAGGGTAGGACTAATGGGGAGAGGGCCATGGGGACATATGGAGGAGAGCACAGGACAGATGAGTAGCACGGGGTGCAGGATGGAAAGCAGGGCTGTTGCACTTGCTGTTCCCTCCACTTAAGGGACTTTCGGAGAAGTCCTTCCAGCCCACCCTGGCTAAAACGGACCCTGGTGAGCTGGAGCCTTGCCAAAATAGGAAATTCTGGTGTGACACATTCATCTCCTCTGCGAGGCTGTGAGCTCTTCCAGACAGGACTCAGTGCCACATGCACACTCAACAAGCAACTGCTGAATGCAGGGACAGAACAAAGACCACGCCACCAGATGGGGTCTCCTCCTCACCCCACTGTAGCCAGGGGGCAGGTCTGCATATGCTACAATGCAAGCTGGTGTGAAGGGGTGCAACTAGGAAGCCCAACCCTAGATAACGGTCTAGATGGCACATGGGAGACACTACCATGTCATGAACTGGAAGAGGACTGGGATTAAGAGCACATTGTGACTTAAAAAAGAGACATGCTGACTAGGAGGAGCCCAGGGAGGCTCAGGGGCTGGGACCCTTCTGCAGTCTGGTCTGGGTACAGGTCACAAGGTGCACATGTATCAACAGACCTCAAGCCGAACACGTGATGGGCACACTGGCCTGGGTGTTAAGTCACACTTTGAGAAAAGAAATTGAAGAGATTCAGATCACATTTTCATTCAGTGCGTTCTGGGATGAGTCAAGCCTGTTTTTGTAACAGTCCTCGGGCTAAGAACACTTTTAGGTTGGTAAACAGTTGTGAAAATGCAGCAGCGGAAGAGCGCCTGGGTGGCTCAGTTGGTTAAACATCCTTCAGCTCAGGCTGTGATCTTGGGGGTCTTGGAACTGAGCCCCACTACAGTCTTCCCACTTCGTGGGGAGTCTGCTTGTCCCTCTCTCTCTACCCCTGCCCCTGCTCATGTTCTCTCATGCTTGCTTTCTCCCTCTAATAAATAAATAAAATCTTAAAAAAAAAATAAATAAAGGAGCAGCAGTGGACAGAGACCATCTACATAAAATGTTTATCTGGCCCTTTATAGAAAAAGTCTGTCAACTGCTGTTCTGAGAAAAAAGCTGAGGGCCTGGGAAGAGCTTGAGTTTCCCCCTGATACTTTCCCACAGTCTGAATTCTTTACCATGCCTGTACATTTTTTTAAATTGAAGCACATGTGCATAACAATAAATGTAAAGTATGACGAGTTATGGGAAATGCATTCATGCTTGTTTAAAATTTTGTATCTCTCTGTTAACCCTAGGTGCAAAGCATATGCCCCTTCTACTTTTTTTTTTCTTTTACATTTTTCTGTGTTGAGCCCAACAGCAAACTTTTAAATGTTACTTAAAACATTTGAAAATTTTAAGAATACACATTCCTGGGACATCCGCGGGTAGGTACTACAGGGAGGAACACCTAAATTCCCTTAATGTTCCGGATCCAGCATGAGTTTTACACTGGGTGGCCGTGGGGGCAGGTAGCAGCCTCTCTCGGGCCTCAGTTTCCCCACTTATGCAACGGAAGTGTGGCCGAGGGCTCGGGGCACGAGCTACATTGATCTAACCAATCGCAGAATGGAAAGGATTAAGGGGACCGACCTTCCAGACTGTTCTGTGAAGAAAACAAAGCTCAGTAAGCGTTCGACAAACCAACAGTTACTCTCGTCACTACCGAAGCCATCGGTGATGCCTGGGCTCCGCCTCCCGTCACACCGCGGCGGAAACTGAGACCCGCGAGACTCCCCGGCGACCCCACCCCCACCCCCGTCACGGCGTCCCGAAGCCCCAACTCTGACACCCCGGCTTACTGCGACACTGACCCGACAGTCCCCGACGCGGAAGGTTCCGCTTGTAGTCGATGGGGCCATAGCCCCCCGGCGGGGGCATGTCCTGTTTCACCTTCGATGCTGCCATGCTCACAGGACCCCAACTTCCGGCCGCGGGCGGAAGTTACGTCCGGAGGCCGTCGCCATGATGAGTGTGGCTGAAAGTACTGCGCATGTCGTGGGCGGGACTAGGGCATCTGGGACGCTAGTGTAGCTATCCCACGGTGAAGGAGAGCTAGGGCAATAGGTCCAGGACTCCAATGGGCGGCGGGGCTGCAGCCGAGGATTCCCTATCTTTTCTCTTAGACGGGGCTTGGTTCAGTCGGTGTAGACGCTTGTAGCCCGTCTGGTCGCCCGGGTTCTTGCCCTAAAGGACCTCCCGTACACCTTTCCTCTGGTGTGGTCCTGAGGCCATTCAGAGACCCCAAGCTCCTGAGGGAGCCGGGTCACCGAGTTACCAAGTTAAACTCCCTCTCTCTTTTTCTCCCCTTTGCGGGCGTCCCAAGGCTCCACATGGCCAGGGCCGGGGGGCGACTGCTGCTCAGCTTCGAGTCATGAGGAGCCACCCCAACGCCAGGCACGGATTCTGCTCCCGAGTGGTGGTCGGGACCCCTTGCTAATAGCCTCTCATGTGAACTGGGCCATTCAGAGCGATTATGAGTCACAAAGCCTGATGGCCTTGGGGGGCCCCGTGGGGCGGGGTCCAGGGGGCCCCCCCACCCGGAGGCGGGGTGACGCCCGTGGTCACTTCACAAGGCAGAAATTGTTACCTGGGCAATAAAAGGCACCTCTGCGGCGGGGACCCGGGAGTGGGCACATGGGGGTGCGGGTGTGCAGGTGCCAAGCGCCATGGGTTAGGCCCGAGATTGGAGTCCGGCCGCCCCCCGACAGCAGCCGCCTCCTGCTCCCCGCGCGCCCCAGGCGCCACCATGTCGGGCGACAAACTTCTGAGCGAACTCGGCTATAAGCTGGGACGCACGATAGGCGAGGGCAGTTACTCCAAGGTGAAGGTGGCCACGTCCAAGAAATACAAGGGCACAGTGGCCATCAAGGTGGTGGACCGGCGGCGCGCGCCGCCCGACTTCGTCAACAAGTTTCTGCCACGCGAGCTGTCCATCCTTCGAGGCGTGCGACACCCGCACATCGTGCACGTCTTCGAGTTCATCGAGGTGTGCAATGGGAAGCTCTATATCGTGATGGAGGCGGCTGCCACCGACCTGCTGCAGGCAGTGCAGCGCAACGGGCGCATCCCCGGGAGCCAGGCGCGCGACCTCTTTGCGCAGATCGCTGGGGCTGTGCGTTACCTGCATGACCACCACTTGGTGCACCGTGACCTCAAGTGCGAAAACGTGCTGCTGAGCCCCGACGAGCGCCGCGTGAAGCTCACTGACTTTGGCTTTGGTCGCCAGGCACACGGCTATCCTGACCTGAGCACTACCTACTGCGGCTCGGCCGCCTACGCGTCTCCTGAGGTACTCTTGGGTATCCCATACGACCCCAAGAAGTACGATGTGTGGAGCCTGGGCGTCGTGCTCTACGTCATGGTCACCGGGTGCATGCCCTTCGACGACTCGGACATCGCTGGTCTGCCCAGGCGCCAGAAGCGCGGCGTCCTCTACCCCGATGGCCTCGAGCTGTCAGAGCGCTGCAAGGCCCTGATCGCAGAATTGCTGCAGTTCAGCCCGTCTGCCAGGCCCTCAGCGGGCCAGGTAGCACGCAACGGCTGGCTGCGTGCTGGGGACTCCAGCTAGAAGCCGGGGTTCCAGCCATTCCCGCCGCCCCAAGCACTGCGCAAGCGCAGTGCATGCGCGCGAAGCGCGCTTCCGTACTCTCGCGAAGCCGACATGCACCACTGCGCACGCGCACTTCCCCCTTTTTCCTGACTCTGGATGGCTGGGGCCGTAGTCGCCCCTGTTTAGAATCTAGCTCCTCTCCCCAAGATCCCGAGAGCAGGAGGGCGCAAGCGCTTCCTCTGTTCTCCAAGAGAAGGCCTCGGGAGGGGAAGGGACGAGAAGAAATGGAAGCGTTGCGCCAGCGCGGAATGAGCGATGGCTGTGGGCAGGCGGTGGATATCTGGAGGAGCTGCCAGGGAGTGGACACGTGTGGAGGGCGTCCTTCTCTAGTCACCCGCGCATGCTGGTGGGGAAGGCACGGTCCGAGCGCTGCCTCCTTGGAACTTGCAATAAACTCGCTCTTCCTCGCACCTGCCTCTAACAATGGCCCCCTTTTACCAAGTAGGGGTGGGAGGTCATCCCCCAGCGGAAGTCAGGCGTAGCGCCTCATTGTAGAGAAAGACTTGTAGAGGTTCTAGCTCTAGGTCTCGAAAAGGAATTGGGAGGATTCAAACTAAACTTTTGGGCTCTCCAGTCTCAAAAGAACTCTAAGGGTCGTGCTGGGGTCATGATGGCCCTGGGAATAGAGATGCAGGGCTGGGAGCAAGGATCCCAGCACCCTCCCCGTGTTTAAGAATGGAACAGAGCTGGGGGCGGGGGGGGGGGGGGGGGGGAGCTGTCTCAACAGAAACTGAGTTTATAGATGAGGAAATTGAGGCTCACACAAGTGATACTTGCCCAAGAACACATCTGGAATTTGAAAGTAAATATGGCTAGAGTGGGGTGTGGAGGTGGTGGAAGCTCTCCTTAGTAAGGGCCCTTCCTTGGTAAAGAAGTTGTCTAGCGGGTGAGAGTCAAAAGAGTGGGGGCATGAGTCTTCTGGGCAAGATGGTTACTTCAGTCCTCTCTTCATTCATGCATTTATTGAATGCCTACTGTGTGCCAAGCTCTGGGACTCCACAATGAGGTTGGATCTATTCCTGCCCTCAGTGAGGACACCAGTGAAAAGTCAAGTAAAAATTAATAGCGTGGAAAGAAAAGAATTGTAATTTGTGCTAAATGCTGGGTGAGGGGAGGGGCAGGTGACCAAGGAAGGACGGAAACAGACATTTGAGCTTAACCCTGAGAGAATCAGACACTGAGAACAGCAGAAGGAACGTGTTCTGAGTGTTCCCAAGATACACTGGAGCTGGTGTGTTTGGGGAATGCCACGAAAAGTCCTACAGTGGGAATGGACAGGGAGGAAGAAGAGGTGGAGAGGTAAAAGTCTATGTCTGAAGAGGGGACCCCACAGGGCCTGGGGGAGATTGGGGATTATTTTGTTGCAATGAAGTTAGTGGGTTTGGTGACAGCAGCTCTCACTTGGGGGTGCATTGACGATGTCTAAGCCCCAATTCTACCCATGTCGGAGCCCCACACAGTCTCCAAGGAGGCTGGCCATCTTGTGGGTCTGGTAACTCCCCACTCCTGCTCACTCACCCTTTGTGTTCTCAGGTGCCCTGGGGAGTAAATGCTAGCTCTTCGCTAACCGCTTTTGAATAGGCAGATGAGGAAACTGAGGCTAAGAGAGGGGAAGTGACTAGCCTCCTGTCCTGGCTGGTTCACATCTGAGTCAAGAAAGAAAACCCAACCCCTCAGGTTTACACTAAGGAGGATGCCTCTTCTGGTCTGGACCATCCCGTGGACTCTGCACCTGGAAAATGGAGGCAGGAATCTATCCTCCAGGTTGTAGGGAAGGGCTGTGTGGTTCATTGAAAGACCACACCCTGAGCCTTCTTGAGGCTCCCACTACACCCAGAATGAAACCCACATCCTCACCCCTTTTTCCTGTGGCCCAGCTACACTGCCTGCCTTGTCCTTGACCCGACAAGTTTGGTCTTACCTCTGAGCCTTTGCACTGGCTGTTGCCATTTCCTGCACCACTTACCAGTTTCTTTATTCCAGACTTGGTTTAAGTCATCTCTTCCCTGACACTGTTCTTTCCCTCCTTGCTCTTGTCACAAGGAATCCTAGTGCCTTGGGTATGGGATGTGCCTTTTTCTATTTGTAGATTAATGTGTGTGAGCAATGGGGCCTGGGTTCTTCCTACCCCATGGCCATAGACCTGTTGATCGGTTCAGAGGGGACAAGGCCTCAAGGATTGGGGCAGTTGTTCCATTTGTTGGCTGGAGAAGCTGCTTGACACTCACCCCTGTTGAGTCAGTGGGTCAGTTGAGGAGCCTGTGCCTAACCCAGTGAAAACTCACTTGAGGGCTGAATTTGGAGCCCCGTAAGTGTACTGCTCACAGCCAGTGGTGGGGCATGGGGCACCAGTCAGGATATGTCACAGGTAGACTGGGACAGGTTTGGGTTTAATTTCTGTAATGTCTTCTGTCAGTTCTGTGCCTTGTCCATGTGAAACGTAGTTAGGTGTGGTGGTTGGAGAGGACCATCAACCCCCAGGCTGGAAGCAGGAATGTCGTAACAAAAAAGAGGAGAAACTGCAAAATGAATGAATGAATGAACGAACAAACGAACGCACCTGGGAAAACACAGTTGTATTTTAGGCACATCAGAATTCACCAGTCACTGGGACACCTGGCTGGATCAGTTGGTTGAGCATATGACTCGGTTTGGGCTCAGGTTGTGATCACAGAGTCCTGAGATGGAGCCCCACATTGGGATTCAAGCTCAGCACTCAGTGGAGAGCCTGCCTGACAGTCTCTCCCCCTCTGCTCCTTCCCCCATTTGCTTGCACTCTCTCCCCCTCTAAAACAAATCTTATAAAAAATACTACCAAAAAATTCACCAGTGAGCACAGGTCTCAATAACTTTTCAAACAGTGCATTAACATCTGAAAACAAATTTTCACCAGAAATTGATTTCATAGCTGGCATGGCAGCTCCATCAGTGCTAGAACCTGCACCTGTTCTAAGTCTTGCAGCAAAGACACCCAATGCAGATGCCAAGCCTGAAAATTGGCCCAGAAAAACTTAGCACTTCAGGAGTGGGGGGGCGGAGGCTGGAAGGGATTAAGAGCTAATGGCAACACCCACTGGATTTTCACTTCTTTCGGCTGTGAATAAGTAGGCCACAAAGCCACAGGTTCTGGTGAAGATGGGAGGCCCAGAAGCAAAACCACAGTGCCCAGTTTGGGGAAGTACTCCCGCCACCTTTGGAAGTTAAGTCCGAAAGAAGCCCGGGAAGCAGATGTCTCATTGTTTCCCCATTAACAAGGGGTCACCCTGCTACACCTTCCCCAGTCTCCAAGCTGTCCCAAAGCTGGGACAAAAATAAGTGCAGGGAAAGCAGGGCTGAGGGGACAAAAGAAATATACACCCAACATGTTGTCCATTTCTTTATTTTCCGTCAGATTCTAAAACTTCCTCATGACACAAGTATAGCCATTGATTCCAGCCTCTGTTTATTGGAACTTCTATTCTGGTTTGGTGGTCAACCTTTTACATTTATTATCAAAGATTTAGAGTCACAATAAATACAAGTGACAACCTCCCCACCCACCCATCCCGCAAACCCCCACCTTCCAAATACCCTGCACTAGTGTAACTTTCTATTACACTTTCATTAAGGATTATAAAACTTTAGCTGTCCTTTAAAAAAAAAATGCTCAGTCCAAGTTCTTTAGGCAACCATCATGTGCAGCATAACTCGGCATCAAATAAAAACCCAATGGTGCAGCAGCAACAACTGTCTTTTCCATGATTTACACCCCTGTGATAAGAGTATTTATATAGAAAACTCCTCCCCATGTCTTTGTCCATAGGAAAATGACGTGTGGGACACAGGAACCACAACACCCAGCGCAGCTGTACTCAGTTGGCTTTCATTCCCTCTGCACTGGCGCCAAGTTTGCTTCATAAAGGTCTTAGGATATGAACAGGAGCAGAGGCTACCCCTGGGAGGGCAACTGTTGGCCTTCTCAAAGGTGAGGGTCCCAACATCACAGTTGGGACACTGGGGACCCAGTGACATGGGTAGGATGGCTAGAGCAATGGGAGGCTCCAAGTGGACACACATGTATCTACATGAACACTCATGTTTACATGTATGACAGCCACTTCAAACATGCAGCCCTTCACCCTTGAGTGACTATCATCTTGAACAGTTTCCAGTTGCCATTCAGAGTTCATGTCACAGGTAACTTGGGACCATCATCATCCTCCCACATTGTCACTGCTCGTAGGAACCAAGTCCTTTCAGTCCTGAGGCTCCTGGGGTGGGGGTGGGGGAGACCAGGACCCCAGCACTGTGACCAATTTTGACAGGCTTTGCTGCTGGGAGAACACTCTTAACGTTACTATCTGCTTCCTAATGTCTAAACCCCACATGCAGAGAGGTATTTAATATGCCTTTCCTGCAACATCATAAACCTCATCAAAGAACTACTCATTTGGGGCTTATCAGAGAAGTTATACTGCAAAGGGGGAAACAAAAGAAAAAAAGGGAGGGGTTAAGAGTTTTGATACAGTAGAAATGAACAAAAGATTAAGGCATCTCACGTTCTTCTCTCCTTTAAAAAAAAGTTACATGTCACAGTAAGTGGCCCCTGATGGGATTATTCCCAGGGACGCTGGGCTGGAGGAGGCAGAGCCAGGGCCGGTAGCCCCATCCTCCACCTGTGATGGTCGGGTTTGTCTGAATTCATGAGGCCCACTTAACAGCTCAGGGGCCGGTAGAAGTCCAGCCATGAAAGGTGAGTAGAGGTGGGTTCCTGAGCACAGTGATGAGCGAGGTTCTAATGGGCTGAGGTTGAGGACCAACCTGTGCAGCACAGTTCAGCTTGGGCCCATGAGTCATAGACCCATTCAACCCCAGCTGGGGCGTGACAATCCTGGCACACCCCTCCAGTGCAGAGGTGACTCTTGCCTGGACACCTGATCCCAAGTTACTGCATAGAACTGACGTCTGTTTGCCCATATAAGTGGCCAGCCTAGGTGCTCCTTCTTGAAGGATTTGGAAAATCTGGCCCATGTCATTGAACAGAGAGGGCTAACAGCTCAGGATAGTATAAGACAAGTATTTATTTGCCAGGCACACAGAAAAATGTGAGAAATAGAAATGCTTGCATACTCTTGATTTTTTGGTGTAAAAACACCCCCCCCATGTCAATTTCCCTCCTTTCCCCCAAATCCCTGGATCTTGGAATGAAAGCCACCCTTCCTTGCCCTCCCCTCCTTCAGCCCTCTAAGTTATGCACTCAAAACAAAAATCAATTTAAAACATAGGGTTTTACACAACAAAAAATTAGAATGTTGCAAAACTAGGTCTTCTACCGCGGGTCAAAATGTTGCTAAACATGGATATTCACACATGAGAGAGGGGGTTAAATGAGCCTTTATTAGAATGTTGTAGCAGTGTGTTTTGAAGAAGGAGGCCCTACAAAATAAGGATTTTAAATTAAGTCCCTAACTGCATGGATAGAAAACTAGGGCTGGGGCTGAAGTGGGGAGCAAGAGTACCCCATCTCCACGTCGACAAACATGTGTGCGTGCACATAGGACACCCACGCACCTGCACGGAGACAGCCCTGTGCACAGCACACTCACGACAGCTTCTGCCTATCCTCATGGAACCGATTTTTAGGAAGTGGGAGAAACCAAAATGAAACACAACTAAGAGCAGACCTGATCCTTTGCATAAGACATTTCTGTAGACTCGAAAGAGAGTTAAAAAAAAAAAAAACAAAAAACAAACAAACAAAACAAAAAAAACAAAACAAAAAAACCAAAACCAAAACCAAAACAGTCTGAAGGCGAACCCTGGCAGCATGGCCCTGTTTTAAGGGAAGGTTCTAAACTAGACCCAAATGAAAACCCTGAAGTCTTGGAAGGGCAGGGGTACCTCCCCACCAGACACACCTGACAGGAGCATAGGCCAGGGCAGCTTAAGATGGTGTCCATCAAAATAAGTAAGTAAAGGAAGAATTTAATAAAATAAAACCACAACAACAAAAAAACACAATAGCCCGCCCCTTCAACTTCCCACTCAGGCTCTGGGTGTTGCTGCCAATTCTCTCTCCCTCCTCTACTGGCGGCGTGCGGCTTCTGGGATCCCAGGCCCTCTGGCTGGGGTCTGGGTTGCAGTTTGTTCTTCTGCTAAATGTGGGAGGTCCAGGGTCTCCGGGTTGAGCAGCAGCAGAGGCCTTCCGCTAGAGTGAGGGCTAGGCAGTCAGTGGCCCACCCTCTGGGGTGTGGGGGCCGTGCTCGGCAGGGACCCCTAGGTCTGCACGGTTTACTTTAAACTCCATCATCATGAGGTGATTAAAAAAAATCTGTCAACCTAAAGATTGCCATGAAGGAAGGCAGCCAAAGACTGGGAGGCTAAGATGGGGAAAAGCAAAAACAAAACAGAACGCTCCGCTTGACTTCAGAAGCCCCGGGCGCCGGTCTCGCCGAGCGTGTCACAGTGTCCAGGGTGAGCCGTCCGTGCACCCTGCCGGGGGGGAGGGGTTGGGGGCGCTGAAAGAAAGGGCCGGAAGCAGAACCAGCCCCCAAGGTCCACTTTTCTGCTGGTGTTGGGCAAACTAAAGGCAAAGAAAGGAAAAAAGCCCAAGGGAAAGGTCCCTCAGTGATATTCCTCGTCCACCTGTGAAGCAGCCCCTCAGCTGCGACGAGACTCAGCAGCCAAGAACGGGGCCCTTGCTTCTGCAGCGCGGCCGGCGCTCGCTCACTCGTTTCCTCAGGGAGTATGAGGTCTTCCCGAGTGGAGGGTGGCAGGGCCAGGTGGGAGGGAGGAGGGAGCCTGTTCTCCACTGGGCCCGGCTCGCACTATTTCCATGTGGCTGACTGGGGGATGGAGCGTGGCGGGATCATGTCCAGGAGGTACTCCCGCTGGCGGTCCACCGCTGAGGAGGTCTTGTGCACTGCCAAGCTCGGGCTGACAAACGCAAGGGCCCCGCCTGCAAAAGAGCACAATGACAGGGTGTTTAATGGTATGGGTAATATTCTCTCATGAAAACATTAATTTTTTTTAAAAAAGATTTATTTGTTTGACAGAGATCACAAGCAGGCAGATAGGCAGGCAGAGAGGGAGAGAGGAGGAAGCAGGCTCCCCACCGAGCAGATAGCCTGATGCGGGGCTCGATCTCAGGACTCTGGGACCATGACCCGAGCCGAAGGCAGAGGCTTTAACCCACTGAGCCACCCAGGCGCCCCTCTCTCATGAAAACATTAACAGGGACACGGAATGGTGCATGATGCCTCTGTAGGGCACTCAGTGAGTTACACACAAGGGACATACCAGTGGAGAGGCAGAATTGGGGGAAAAGCCCCGAAGTACAGCTTTTGCTCTCCTGGGGTAAGAAACACCATTCTTTTCTTTCTCTATCCTCCAAATTTCTCCAACGAGCAAGCATCTTTTACAAGTGGAAAATGAACAAATTACCCACCGATCTCCAACACACACAGGTTTTGGGTTAGCCTGAGGCTAAGGACTGCCCTGTCCCCTGCCCCCATCACTGTGTTACCCCAACAGTATTTTTTTTTAATTTTTTTTTTTAAAGATTTATCTATTTATTTGACAGATATCACAAGTAGGCAGAGAGGCAGGCAGAGAGAGAGGGGGAAGCAGGCTCCCTGATGTGGGGCTCGATCCCAGAACCCTGGGATCATGACCTGAGCCCAAGGCAGAGGCTTTAACCCACTGAGCCACCCACGCGCCCCACCCCAGGAGTATTTTTGGTGGCAGCTACAACATTTTGTGGAACAAATGTTCTGAGGTCAAATGCAATACGGAAACCTCTCTACATACGAAAGAGAAACCTGACTGGGTCCTGCCCAGAAACCAAGGGTAACCTGGAGTGCTGGGAGAACCCTTTTGGGAAATGCTTTTATGCTACTAGATATTTACCTCTCATCCTACTACTGAACACAGCAACTACTTACTCCTTCACATTCATTACCTTAAACACACAGTTTTCACATGGCTGCTACAACTGTGCACACACGCACACACCTGTGTCTATTTTGCATACTTTCAAAATTTTCCATAAAAGGAATTTTCAAGCAGCTGTGAGTTCTAGCTGCATCTTGCACGTGCTGCACAAAGGCCTCTCTGCCCTTGTCTACAAATGCTCTCTAGGCTGCTCTGATTCCTCCGCAGCCAGACCAATGTACTCCCTCCCCTGAGCTTTCCCCTCTGGAAGGCTCGGATTCTTGGCCACACTTCTAACTCTACGGTCAGCTGCACACACAGCTGACTCCGGTGTTTTGTTTGCACGGCCAGCCTGGCTTTCCCAGCTCTGCCTAAGGAGATGGTTTTTATGGTGTTGCCCCCTTTTTAAACCTACGGGGATACAACAAACTTGGGGGGGGGCAGGGAGGGACACTGGTTCCCAGAGCGAAAGTGCTCACCTGTCTCCTTTCAGCCCTTTGTGCCTACCTTTCACTTTCCTGTTTTGATGGAAACAAATATTTAACTGTCACCTTAATGCTGGCACATAAATAATAAAAAAGAGGGAGGGAAGCGGTGTGGAGGACAACCCAGGGATGATGGGACTGTGGCAGACTGGGAGTGCTCACCTGAGGGTACCCCCCACCCAATGAGTTGTTCCTCAAATGTGGTTTTCTCAGAATCCTCTGCCACCCACCCTAGTTAAAACCCTAGCCCCTGCCCCAGGGATCTTACCCTTCCCCCACCCCTCCCCATGTTCTTGTTCTGTTTACTCTTTGCACCACCTGACCTAAAGCAGAGAGTGGGAAGAGTGTCTCACAGAGCAAGAATGAAGAACACTACCTGGCTGAACAAGAAATTAAGTTAGTGCACCAGAAAAGATACAACATACCAGCAAAAACAGATGTTCCCTATGGCAGGAAGGGGTCAGGGAGCCAGAACTGGCAAGATAAGTGTCTGTGCTGACAGGTGTCCACCGGATGGTGTGTGTATGACTCACACACACAAACTCGGTTTGCCCAACATTTTGAGTCAAGAGCTAAGAGTCTGGGTATAGAGTGTACAAAGGGGGGAAATCAGTATTTACCCAGGGCCACCACTTGTTTGGGGCATCCTGTTTGGTCAACAGTGATTAAGCTGAACAGTCAAAAGCAGCTGCTCTCAGGGAACAGGTCTGGGGTTTCAGGGCTCTCTGCACCACTTCTGTTCACCCTGTGTACGTGCAAGTCTTAGACAAACGCAAGGAAGGGACACACGTCACCATGTGGGGGCGGCTCACCTGTACTTAGGGGTGCCTTCTTCCAGTTGGTGGTGGCATTGCCCTTGCCAGTGCTTACAGCTCTCTCGGAATGTCTGCCGGTCCTGCTGACAAGGGCTGTGGCTGAGGCTGCGTTCTGCAGTTTGGGTGACTGGCTGAACGTGTGCAGGACACCACGGGGCACTGTGGCTGAGCCCCGGGACAGCTGGCTGGAGGCCTACAGTGGAGAAAGGGTGTGATGGCTCATGTGGGGAAGGCGGTGACAGAGGGCAAGACGCTCAGCGCAGCCTCTCCGTGCTCTGGCCGACCTCTTCCCACCCACACAGGGTCCCTAAAGTCCAAAATCAGGAGACCAGGTAAGTTACACCGAGGGGGAGGGTAAGAGGGAGGGAGAGAGAGACAGACAGACGCAGGCAGCGTGACAGTCGGCGACTGACGTGGTCACGGTCTGGGGCGTGAGGGCTGGTTGGTGGCGCGGTGCAGGGGCTCCCGGCACCGCAGTTCTGACCTGTAGCACAGCCCCGTTACTCCAGTCGCGGGCCTCTCCTGAGCGGAACGCCAACTTACGCCGGGGTTTTATGACCTATACAAACGGGGTTGAAATCGAGGTCAGCACCATCCACAGACAGCCTAGGGTGACCTAGAGTGACCAAGGGCAGCAGCTGTGGCCCCACGAGGCCCAGTCCCCACGGGACAGGCCATTTCCTGAGGGCAGCACAGCCACCCACTATATAAGGATCTTGAGAAGATGTGTTTATTAGTGAATTACAAATGACTTCCGAGGACACAAAAAATTGCCAACGGAGTGCTTTGGGTCTACAGGGGGTGGGAAAGCAAAGCATTAAAAAAAGCAGCCAAAACTTGACTTCAAACTTGCTTCTCTCCTTAATTTAGCTAGAACATTTCTTCCAAATGCCCCTTTTGCATCTCAATGTGGCTTTCAGAAAAGTCCTTTTAGACAAGAAGTACTTGTCAGCCGGAACACTGCACGTGAAAGCTACAAAATCTAAAGAAACTGCAAATTAGTATTTTCACCACCAAAGGCCACCATTAAATGCAATTTAGACACACAGTTAACAACCAGGCAGATAACTGCCCAGTGTGGGACAGAACGTCAGAACATCTTGCTTGCTAGCAACAACTCCCGGCTAAGGGAAGGGAATAAGGCCCCTCTCCTAGAAGGTGAGGCCGCCCAACCCCCACTCCCAGGCCGCAGGGCCACAGCTTTGGCTCCCCAAGGACTCTCACCTGCTTTAGTGCGGGGTGTGGGGCGGCGGCAGGCTCAGCCTTGGCCTGTGTGGGGGCGGCACCCTGTTGCAGGAGGCGCTGCTCGATCTCCTGCTCCTGCTGCAGAGCCTTCACAAAAGCAGCCTTCAGCCGGCTCGTGTGCTCTACCTTGAGTGCCTTCTTCTGGTTGGATGCCATGCAGTTCTCACACATGATGGCGCCACCCTTCTCCTCCCGCCAACGGCATGTGAAGTCCGTCTTGCACTGCGCACACATGTAGGGCTCCCGGGACAGAACAGCAGCAGCTGACATCCTGCCCGCTGCAGGGAGATAGGTGGACTCATGTCATAGGAACAGGATGCCAGAGTCAGAGCCCTTACCATCCAGGACAGGATGAGGACGTGTGACAGATCTGGAGCAGTGCCCTGGACTGTGTGGCTCAGCTGGCATCAGTAAGCCAAATCCCAAGACATTGTCTGTTTGGCACGCATGTACTGGTGCCAACTATGTGTGGACACCAGGCCAGCCTTGCGCCTTGGGGAAGGTTTGCTGATAGAAAGGAAGTTAAGCAGCTTTGGAAAATGCCATGAACTAGGTACACTGGGTACCAACTCTCAAGAACCTCAGTGCTCTCTAGGGGTGCCTGGGTGTCTCAGTAGGATAAGCATCTGCCTTCAGCTCAGGTCATGATCCCAGGGTCCTGGGAGCCCTAAGTTGGCCTCCCTTCTCAGCGGGGAGCCTGCTTCTCCCTCTCCTTCTGCAACCCACTTTGTGCTCTCTCAAATAAATAAAATCTTACAAAGAACAAAAAGCGATCTCAGATTAGCTCCTCCCAACTGCCTTTCCTATTCTCCCCCACCTTCTCACAGTGAAGAGGAGGTGACCCTCCAGGTCCCACCTTGCTGTGATAGGCATTCTTGCCAGAGGGCCAGTCAACTAAGGACTAATTATCCAGCAGATACTCCTGCTGACAAACGTCATACCCATTGTCTTGTGCATGCAAACCTCCTAAAAGGGCAACCCATGCTGTTATTTTGAGAAGGAAACCAAGGCTAAGGAGATAAAGTGTCTTGCAGAGTCACACACCAGTCAGTGGCAGGGCCAGGACTCACACGTGCTGCCCAGGTGAGGGCACTCTGGATCCTTGGCCCCTATATCTGAGAAACGGGAGCATTGCATCCCCTTGGTTGGCCATAGGACGGGTGACTGGGGAAGCCAAGTAAAGTGCATGCTCAGGTATGGGATCAATATTCTTTTTGTCACTGAAAGTGAAGTAAAATGGGGAAGCCTGGGTGGCTCAGTCAGTTAAGCCTCCAACTCTTGATTTTGGCTCAGGTCATAATCTTCGGGTTGTCAGACTGAGTCTGCACCAGGCTCTATCCTCAGGACAGACGGAGTATGCTTGTCCCTCTCCCTCTGCTCCACCTCCCACTCACTCATTCTCACCCATTTTCTAAAATAAATAAACGAAATCTTAAAAAAAAAGAAAAGGAAAGGAAAAAGAAAGAAAGAAAGAAAGAAAAAGCGAAGTAAGGGGTTCGTTTTGTATTCTTGTAACTATCTTTTGTGTGTCTAGAGTACTCAAGGATTTGACTTCCTCTTACTATCAGAGACAATGCCGCCAAGAGACCCTGGGCCTCTCTCCAGCCCTGGGCCTGCCCAAGCTGCCCCTGAATGCTGAGGGGCTATATAGGATCAGACTGGAGGAGCCCCTCACCCCAGGCCCCCAGCTCCAGGCTCTCACCTGCAGCTAACATGCTCCGGTGAAAAGAATACATCACCTTCCAAACATCTAACCCTAGAGGACACAGCACCTCTTTCCAGGGAGCTGTAGCAGGGATGACCAACATGAGAGTGGAGACATTGGTACAAGGCTGTACTTAGTCACCCAGCCTGGGGCTCTGGGATGCATTAGGGGACACCTCAAAAGGCGCTCAGAGCTTCCTCCCAGTTAGGTCCCATTTTGGGCAATACCAGAAGGATACTGACCCCAATGAGAGAACAGGTAGACACGGGCTGACTGAGAAGAGCAGATGCCCAGGGCACACAGATAGACAGGTGGGCACTGTGTCCTGACTTGGGACTCCCACCACCCACCTATCCCGCAGTGGTCTCACGGCAGCTCTTTTGCCAAAATCACTCCATCATAAAGATGACACCAAAGGGATCAGACACATCCAAGGGTGTGAGAGCTCGCACCCTTCCCTGCTGAGCCTGGCTCCCTGACAAGTGGAGGCCACCATCCCCAATGTTACAGAGGACAATGTTGTCCCTATGTGGCTTCCCACTCTCAGCCTGACTCACAGTCAATCCTACATATGGCCCTGTGGTTGGGGAGGATTTTAAGAGCAATGGCGTGGGTGGGTGGCTGGGAGGTAGTAAGGAAGCTACAAGTTAATCTGAGGTGGCCAGCTGGGCATCCTTGGCCCTGCGTCTGGCCCCCAACCAAATACGGAGGGCTCTACCTCTAAGAGGCACTAGCTACAATGTCCAAGGATGTGATATATCCTTTGTGATATACTGACTAAAGAGGAGGAAGAGAGCACTCCCTCCAACACCCTGACATCAAGCAGGCACTGCAGGGACCCCAACTACCTGTCACACATACCTGCTTCCTTCCCTCTCTGGAGACAAGAAGCAAGCAATCAGAAGGTGCTTTTCCTTTGCACAAGCCCCATTACTGTTGCTCCCAACTCTGTGCTGGTAAGGGCAGGCCTGAGAGGGATCGGCATGTCCCAAGAGACAATTCAAGGTATGTGGTCTGAAGCCTACCAGGCCCTCCCTTGCCCTGGACCAGCTCCATCTCCTCCTCAGGTCTGAGCATCTGCTGAGATCATGCAGGGAGAGCATTCAGGCTGGCTGCCTAAATAAGACCATCACAAACTCAATCTCCAAGCAGAAATGTCTTCAAATCATCTGGTGGAGGCCCCTCAAAGGCCAACCTGGCTTCCCACCTCCATTTCCAATGTTACTTTTTTTTTTTTTTAAAGATTTTATTTATTCATTTGACAGAGATCATAAGTAGGCAGAGAGGCAGGCAGAGAGAGAGGAAGGGAAGCAGGTTTCCTGCTGAGCAGAGAGCAAGACTCAGGGCTCGATCCCAGGACCCTGAGATCATGACCTGAGCCGAAGGCAAGGCTTTAACCCATTGAGCCACCCAGGCGCCGCACCAATGTTACTTTTGATCACGACCCTATATATGCCCTTTTTTAAATCACTAAAACCTCTTAACATGCAAGTGGTGCTTTCCAAACTGTTTCCAAGGAGGGCGATAAAGTGAGTCTGGCCCAGGCATGGGTGTCCCCCTCCTACCTCAGGGCTGAGAGCATTCAGGGCTCTGAAAAGTTCTAGCTGGAAAGACCTTTCTGGAAGCAAAGCCTGTCAGCCTCCTGTAAATGTTCCTCCTCATGCCTCTCTGCCTGCCCCACCATCATAGAGCAGCTTCTGCCCTCAGACCATGTGTGCAGGCCCTTGGGCGTCCCCAGGGCCCAGCTCTCAGAAGAGGCCCCAACAAGAAAGGTGACTGTGATATGTTTAAGAAGTTATCCGAGGGACGCCTGGGTGGCTCAGTTGGTTAAGCGGCTGCCTTCGGCTCAGGTCATGATCCCAGCGTCCTGGGATCGAGTCCCGCATCGGGCTCCTTGCTCGGCAGGGAGCCTGCTTCTCCCTCTGCCTCTGCCTGCCACTCTGTCTGCCTGTGCTTGCTCTCTCTCTCTCTGACAAATAAATAAACAAAATCTTAAAAAAAAAAAAAGAAGTTATCCGAGGTGATAGATGGTGACCACATTTATGGTGGTGAACACCAAGTAATGTATAAAATGGTTAAATCACTGTATCATACACCTAAAACTAATTAACACTGTATGGCAACTATACTTCAATAGAAAGCATTTTTTTTTTAAAGATTTTATTTATTTATTTGACAGAGATCACAAGTAGGCAGAGAGGCAGGCAGAGAGAGGAGGAAGCAGGCTCCCCGCTGAGCAGAGAACCCGACGCGGGGCTCGATCCCAGGACACTGGGATCAAGACCTGAGCCGAAGGCAGAGGCTTTAACCCACCGAGCCACCCAGGCGCCCCAATAGGAAGCATTTTTAAAAATGTAAAAACTAATGGGGCACTGGGGTGGCTCAGTTGGTTAAGTTTAAGTGTATGACTCTTGATTTCAGCTAAGGTCATGACCTCAGGATCCTGAGACTGAGCCCTGTGCTGGGCTATGTGCTGAGTGCGGAGTCTGCTGAAGATCTGCCCTCACCTGCACCCCTCCAACCCCCCGGGTTGCTGCAACTCCTAGCACATGCGCGCAGTAAATAAACAAACAAATAAATAAATGTAAAAACTGAAACAAGCAAAAAGTAAAGGCTCATAGAAAGCAGGACTGATACAAAAGGTTATGCATAAGATGCCCCACCCCAAGACAGCTCTCAGCACACAGCAGACATTCCAACATGTGCTATGCATTGAAAATAACCTATTGTAAGAAAAACTTCAGTGGCAAGAGATGAAAATAGCTCCAAGGCCCACTCACCTTGGGTCTCTAGAAGGTTCTGCACCACTTCCTCCAGGCCGACCAGGTAGATGAATTCGTTGTTGGCAGCGCTGGGCAGGAAGTTCATCTCTGGGGCAGGGGGCTTGGGAGGGGGGATTTCTAGCAGCGTCTTCTCCAGCTGTTTGCGCAGCGCAAGCTTGGCAGCTGCCTGACGACTGGCTGGAGAATCAGCAGAGGTGACCACAGAGGCCACGCTGGTGGGGGTGGAGTTGGCCTGAGCAGAGGTGGCTGTCGTCCCTTTCAGCGACGCTGGGGAAGGCTTTTAGGAGATAACAACTTGGTCAGGGTTCTGGGGGTGCCTAATCCCAGAGACCAGGATGGCACTGTTAGCTGCATTGACTAATGAATCTTTAAGGTAATAACTCCAAGCTGCTTGACATAAGCAAGCCAACAGGCAAAGCAGCATTAAACTCCTCACCGTATGAGATGACCAATCTTATAAAACATACTTGTTGAGGTTTAGCTGATATCCAATAAACCACACACATTTACAATCTGTATTCTGCTGTGTTTTGCTACATGAGGACATCTATGAAGCCAAAACCAGGGCAGTGGGCACCCCCGCTCAGGCAACACAGCCACTGTCCCATCACTATGGCCTAGCAGACTTCCTCCCAGCACAGGTCGGATGGCCGCCATCTTCACAGGGGTGTGAGAGAAGATCACTACAGCACTGGTGGCATTTGCTTCATGAGCACCTTTGTATGTGGTTGTCTGAGACTCTAATGTTTCACTCACTTCATGTGTCCTCATTGGGGTTATGGTGGAGAACAGCTTTTGGACCAAACTCTGTCCCGCCCCTTCCCCCACTCCTGATCTTTGGTGCTCCTGTACTACTTTCTCGTCTTCATCTAGACCCCAGTGGCCAATGCTCCATTGTCTCCTTCCTTTAGTTCACCCAGCCCTCAACCCTGTCAAGTGCTTTCCCCAAAACCCAAAGCTGATCACACTAGTGCCCTTAATTTTGTGAGGCTGAGAACCCTTCTGAAAATCTAAGGAAAGCAGCATACACCATCCCCATGAAAATACACACACCTGACAACTTGCACACAACACATCATAGGACTCAGGGAGCCCAGAATGGTTTCCCAGGGCCCCTTCCCTCACAGAGGGTCTCAAGAGCTGAACAAGTTTCCCAACACAGAGGACACCAGCCATCAAAGCAGCTCAGCCTGGTCTGACTTTAGAGGAGACGGGGATGCTGCTCAGAATCCTGCTGGTCAGGCTCTTATCTGAGGGAGGCAGACAAAGATGCACCATGCCAGAGGAGGAAGAGAAGCTAATACAGCCATCAGCAAAAGCCCCTGCAGACCCAATAATTTTCTCTGTCAATAAAGCTCTTGCTTCTAGCCTGCCCACCCACCCTGGTCCCATCTTCCTGGCACTACTTTGTGGGAACAGACCCACCCCATCTCAGAGGCTCTGTACAGAGGTGAAAGGACTCGTGGCTAAGAATAGATGTGCTAGTGCTGTGAGGACATTTACAGACATGCTCCCCTCATATGCTCATGCAGACAGGGAGGAGGGCGAGGAAGGCTCTGGTGCCGCTCCACCCCTCTCACCCCCCGCCCCCCGGTCCCAGCCATCTCTAGGCCGATCGGATGCTTTACCTGGCCTCATCCATCCCCCAAAACATCTTGGGTCCACCACCTGAAGCCTCCCCCATACCCTGCAGCTTAGGTCTGAACCTTTCCCCCTCTCAGTACCTATCCATCTCAGCTAGACCATAGTTCTTAACACAGGAGGAGCTCTAGTCCAAACCCCCATGGGGCACCCTAGGCCTTGCCTGACTCTGAGGGAGCAGGCAGCTCACACCATACCACTCTGGAGACCTGACTATGCCGCAGGACTAGGGGCCCTTGATGTGTGTGCGTGCGGGGGGTGGGGTTAGGTTAGCTCAGCACAGTCCTCACCTGTGGGATGTTGACAAGCAGACTGGTATTGGGGACATTGGCGACACGGATGAGGCCCTGCTGGATGATCCTCTGTCCCTGAATTTGCACACTGGGCACAGATGCCCGGGGGGCCAAGAGGAGCGGTGGCGGCCCCGTGCTGGAATGTTGTCTGATGTTGTGGATTTGCTGTGGGGTGGGACAGAGGATAAGATGATGAAAGGGATGGGGTGCCTGGGTGGCTCAGTTGGTTAAGCGTCCAACTCCTGATTTTGGCTCAGGTAATGATCTCAGAGTTGTAAGACTGAGCCTCACATCGAGTTTTACAGTGGGCATGGAGGCTGCTTAGGATTCGCTCTCTCCCTCTCCATCTGCCCCCTACCCTCCATGCACTCTCTCAAAAAAACAAAAAAAAAAAACCGAAAAAACCACACCTTTTTAACACTGAATAACATTCCACTGTATGGATATTTCCCCATTCTCCCCCCCGCCTTAAAAAATAAAATAATAAATAAAATTAAATAAACAAAAAGATGGTGAGAAGATCAATGAAGGGAGGGAAGGGTGGGACCCCATAATCCCCAAGCTGATGACCAGGAAGGACTATTCTCATGAGGTGACTGGCTGGAGTAGCCTGAACACATTTTTACACCACACAAGCATACCCTGCTCACCTGAGCCCCCCTGACAAGTGGGGGCATGACGACCTGTGAGCTCGCCTGTGGCCCCAGCTTCGAGGACACCTGCTGCCCACCGCGGACCAGGGGTGGTGGGATGACACTGCCAGGCATTCTTGTTGAAGAGGTCTGTCAACAGCACCAAGCCCCAGATTTTATACTTTTTTTTTTTTTTAAACAAACAGGTCTGCAGTTTTATAAAAGCACATACTTGTTTAAAAGGGGGGGGGGATGGACACTAAAATGCCCATTTATTCTAAACACAAAAGAAGAAGGAACGTGGATTACGACAACAGCCATGCAGATTGGCTTCACTCAGGAGTGAACTGCACCAACAAGGTAGCACATTTTCACCCCTACAACAGCAGAAGTCCAGCTAACCTGGGCTGGGAGTCACTTTCTTGCTGGTCTGAACTGGGGGCACAGGACTGTTTGAGGGAAGGCGGGCCCCTGCTCCGACCTCAGTCTTGTGTCTGGGAGTGGGAGCTCTGCCCATCTCACCCTGTGGGTAGGAGGCCCTGCTAGGTCGCACGAACTTGGAACTGTTGAAACAAAAGGAACCTGGTCTGCCTAAATCTTGGTTCTCTCTCTAATTTTACTAGGAGCAGTCATAGGAGGAGCCCTCTCAGCAGTGGCATGATTTGTTCGTGATGTCAAAAGTGGCCTAAGTTTGGACCTCACTCCAAAGGAATCAGAAGGAATGGGCAGCCTTTCACAGGAACTGGATCAGGACTGCTCAGGAGACTAAGCAGAGGGAACACTGACCTGAAGGGATGGCTTGCCAGAAGGAATGTTCTGGGTGCCCCGAACAAGCGGGGGAGGGGTGGTCACGGCACTCCCAGCAGAGCCTGTGGGCTGTAAGAGAGCAGACATGCGAGAGATAAGGGGGTCGTCAGCCCCACTCCCCTCACATACAATCCAGAGGGAGAAAGACTGGTTTTCTTCCTCTTCCAAAGCCATCAAGCTCTAAGGTTCTATGCTTCCAGTGTAGTCCGTAGTGTAGTCTCCAGCTAAAGTCTGTAGCAGGAATTGACACACCTGAAATGGACAGAGGAGGGGCACCTGGGTGGCTTAGTTGGTTAAGCGACTACCTTCGGCTCGGGTCATGATCCTGGAGTCCCTGGAGTCCCGCTTCAGGCTCCCTGCTCTGCAGGGGAGTCAGCTTCTCCCGCTGACCTCTCTCCTTTCATGCTCTCTCTCAAATAAATAAATAAATAATCTTGAAATGGGCAGAGGAGAGATCTTCCAGTACCCCTCCCTCCTGGGAATGCTTGACATCACACTGTGGTTTAAGAGCAGGTTTTGCCTTCTGGGGGATGTGAAGGACTAGTGGTGATGGCTAAGGCAAACGATGCCAGACTTGAATAGATTAATCCCAACCTTGGTGAGAAAGCACCAAGTCCAAGCACTTCTTAAAGTAACAAATGCCACTAGATAAGGGACAGGGACAGTGTGTCTTGGGCAGTATGAGCTGACAAGAGTATATAGAACACAAGTCCCCTTAAGGAAACAGGACAGGAGGATACTCACTTAAGGCTCTGCTTGGGCTCCCACTTGAACACAGTAAGTGGATATAGCCAGTGGACAGAGCCTGCCAATTATTTGTTTCCTTTCCAATTGTTTAAGACTCAGTGGAGTGAACCAAGTCTGTCCCTGTCCTTTATCTAGTGGAATATGTTACTTTAAGAAGTACCTGGTTTACTGAGATAGTGGTTAAAGTAAAAGGAAGGGTAGCTTTAAAAAACCCAACAACCAAAAATGTAAAAACAGAATCAAACAAAAACAAAACAAAACAAAACAAAATAAATAAATAAACCAACAAAACAAACCTAACCTTGGCCTATATGGTAATCTGCATTTAGAAGCAGCAAAAGGAGCCTCAGACACCAGGGGATATGGCAGGAGGAGCCCCAGGACAGAGACTCTGGGGCCTGGGAAGCACTGTGGCATGCCCCTGCAGCATGAGGGAATCTGTCCACAAAACCGTGGTAGCTCCTGATGGCCAGCATGGCCCACCCACAAGGTAGGAGGCCTCTCTGAAAATGCGTTTGGGAAAGAGCTCTTAACCCAGAACTTCCAGCAGCTTCTAAGACATCTGTTCTCCGTTTTCTTAACACTTCCCATCTATGAGGAGTTTTATATACTCCTATCGAGAATATTCCAAACCAAAACGCACTGTAGTATCCTTACTCTACCTTCCTTTCCACAAAATGTTTAATTCAAATTTCCATTTTAGACCTTGACCCTTATGCCCTGAGGAAACTTGTTTGCCTGTGATCAGCTGCTCCTGGTTCCTGGCACTAAGGTGGGCCAAGGTAATGAGTCTGGGTTTTCATCCCATTTTAACTGGCTCCTGCTGACTCCTGAGAAGAGAACGGACACACACACACACCTTCTGGGTGGTAGTTTCCTTTTGTATTTGACTCTGCCGCAACTTTTTTAATAAAACGAGTTTTGCTTCTTCTAATCTTAACTCTTCTTTCAGTTGCTTAATCATTCTTTCTCGTTCTTCAGGACTGCTTTTCTGCAAGGACAAGAGAACAAGGGTTGAAGGGGAGAGCCACAGCCAGGGAGCACAGGCCCCACCATCACCAACACCATTTGGGGATAATGTCAGGCAGGGTCACCCCCCAACACGGGGACAGGGCTCACCATGAGGGCCTCGGTGCTGGTCTCCTTCAAGGCCTCCTTTGTCAGCCCATTCACCCTTGGGCTTGCGGGCTGCTCATTGTCAGAGAGCACAATCACATCAGGAGAGGGGGCTCTCCTCTCAGACTTCATGTCACTGTGGAGCAGGGAAAGCAGACTGTTACCAGAGTGCCTGGACGCTCCGCCAGCACCGTTCCCCAGAGCCCGGCACCTATATACCACAGATGCCCAGACTCAGACACAGTCACAGCAGGGAGGTGGAGAGCATGGCTGACCCACGCACTCCTCTCCCCAGCCTCTCTCCTTGGGCGTCCTCCCTACCACACACCCATACTGACTTCTCTCACTATATTCACCACAAAGCACCCAAACTGAGAGCTAGGTTCCTAGCCAAGACTAATTCTTGTTGCCCACCTCTGTGTACCCAGGGCTGAGGACACCTGTGTTCAAGGGTGACGTGGTCATTTCGGAAAACACTGCAGCTCCCTTCTCTACCATGTGGTGTAGTTTGATAAAAATGCTCAGCTTGAAGGGCACCTGGGTGGCTCAGTCGGTTAAGTGCCAACTCTTGATCTTAGCTCAGGTCATGATCTCAGGGTGATGAGATTAAGCCCTGTATAGGGCTCTGTGCTCAGCAGAGTCTGCTGGAGAATCTCTCCCTCTGCCCCTCTCCCTGCTTGTGCGGGCGCACACATGCACGTGCTTTCTTTCAAAAATAAATTTAAAAAATCTTATAACAACAACAAACCTAGGATCCTGGAGCTGAGGCAGGGTCTTTCTTGGCCTGTCGTCAGGGCTCCTGTGTGTTAATGTGACAGTGTGATGCTGAGCTTCTACTGTGTCTCTAACCGCATTCACAAGGTCCCAGAGACCATGCTGTGCGCCCCCAACCAAGCAGCTGTTTGCTGAGGGCCCAAGGTAAACTTTCCCTTAAGATCTGGCCTCCACTTGTGCTGAAGGATTAGGATCCTTTTCATCAGTAGGAAAACCAGCAGAGGACCAAACAAACCCACTAGGTGGCACTGTGACCCAGTGAACAAACTCAATAAAGTTAACTGGGAGAAATAGCGCTAGTTGTCCCACTCCTCCCTCCTAGACCCCAGGAAAGCAGGGACAGAGTTGTAGATGGAGAACTAGTTTTAACAGCCCACTGAACTGCCTTTTTCATTCCTGGAATGAGGTCTGTCTTTACGAAAGGATGGGCAAAGAGGACCAAATAGAGGGGCATGTTTGCCCCTGGACCCTTCTCCCCAACCAGGGCTCTTCCATCCCTTCTAAAAGAGCCACACGGTGGCTACACCTCAATCCTTCTAACCTTGATTTGATTTAACCAGTACAGTTGTTGGCCGAAATCTCAAAAGACATCAGAGGAGTGGGAAAAAAGGTGCCATTTCAAAGTATACAGTCACCTCACTGGGGTGATTTCTCAAGTCCAGAAACCGGTTGGCTGTTTATCAAGTAACCCAGGACATCATATTCAGGCCTCACCAAACCAAAGACGAATGCAATATGGGAACCACCACTCACTCTGTTTGTCTCCCTGCTGACTGCCCACTCTGCCCAAGGTCAACTTTCAAGGGGACCTCAGGGCTCTAATTCCATCCAGGTTCTCTAGATGCAGACAAAGATATTGAGGGGCAGTGCAAGGCCCAAGTATAGGAGCTGTAGCCACTGGTCCCAGCCCAGGTGGACTCCCAGGTGACTGCATGCAGACAGAGGAGCAACCTAGGCAGAACCAGGTCTAGAAATGCAGACTGCAAGCATTTCCTGAACAAGAGTGCGCTGAGACAATGGTAATCACTTTTTGTCATTTTACTGAGGGCATGCACTTTTTCTGAAGGTTGAGAAGTCTAACAAAACTCAAATGTCTGAGGGAAAAGGGCAGGCTGAAGGACCAAGAACATCTGGAGGCTGAAGCTTCCTGAGATGGCCACTCCAACCACAGCACTCCCAGGTCTCATCTTGGCCGGAGAGTAATCAATAACTCATCCAAGCAATGACGTCACCCCACCCCCATCAATGATCACTCAGCATCCCAGCAGCCAGCAGGGAGTGAACTTCCTGTATGCTAATCATCTACCAAAAAGTCATGTGACAAAGGCATTTCCCTCCCTGGTCATGTGACCCTTTAACTGTGCCTTCCAACATGAAAACCATGGCAACAGCCAGTTCTAACCGGTTTGTGACATGCAGCCTTCATTTTGAGAAGTGAGGTAGGGTTCAGGTGCTGTCAGAAAATGGAGGCCCCCTGCTCACCCTGGGGCTGCCCAGCAGCAGACACTTCCTATGTGGCACCAGCCCATGAGGAACTGTTAGTGTATTATAGGGGCCAGGGCCACCTCTTCCTAACACAGAGAGGTCACCAGCCCCTCTAGTTGCCAACATGGAAAACTTTCCTAAGCTCAATTTTTAAAGTAAAGGTGCTTCAAAAGTCTTCTCAGTTCTTTCACAGAGAGTTCTTTTAATTCAGGAGAAAGAATACCCCTTTGACACAGGCTAAAAATTAGTTTGGGTGTTTTTGGTTTTTGGTTTTTTTTTTTTTTTTTTAAAGATTTTATTTGATAGAGATTACAAGTAGTCAGAGAGGCAGGCAGAGAGAGAGAGAGAGAGAGAGGAGGAAGCAGGCTCCCCGCTGAGCAGAGAGCCCGATGCGGGGCTCGATCCCAGGACCCCGAGATCATGACCTGAGCTGAAGGCAGAGGCTTTAACCCACTGAGCCACCCAGGCGCCCCTGTTTTTGTTTTTTTAATTGTTCTAAATTGCAAAACCATTTAGGCGGAAGAACAAAAGCAGAGGAAATCTAGCCCAACATGCTAGGGCAATAGCACTGTGGCCAGATATACTGCTTTCCTGCTTCAGTCCACGGTGGGCATGTGGGTACCAAGTTTATTTAGAAGCTACACGATTTCAGGGCAAATCCAGTAAGCCCATCCTGCCCATCTTGGGAACTCTTGTGTAAAATATTACGATCAAGAGAGATTTTATGTGACCTATGAAAATCTCTGGAAGCAGAACATGCTATTATCAACAAAAACAGTCTCATCACCTCCTCCCCTGTATGCCAGCCTTGGCTAAACCAACACAAAAATTCTGTTACCTGCTTGGAACTTTCATCAAGTTTCATAGAAGAAAGGAAGAGCTTATATAAACTTAACTAAATGACAGATCCCATGTCCACAGCACCAGGCTACCATCCCAACTGCTCACCAAGCAGCAGTTTGTGTGAAGTTAAAATTTAGCGCCCTCTCAGTCCATTCCAGGGGAAATGGCCTCATAAAGAGAACACAGAAACTGTTCTTGGCAGCTCTGACCTTCGCTGTTCTCTGAAAGGGCTTGCTTGATGTATGGGAAAGGGACACTTCGTCCACACTTGTTCATTCACTCACTCACTCACTCATTTGTATCTGTCGAAAACCCACTAAGAAAGCAGATGCTGTGCCAAGCAATAGGGATACAACCCTGGATAAAAGGCAGTTCTGTTCTCAGGATCCTTCAGAAGGGACAGACCCCCAAACCAGGAGAGGAGGGGCAAGTAAGGGCATATCCACAGGTGGGAATGGATCACCACTTGCCTTGGTTCACTGAACAGCAGGGAAAGCTTCAATGGAGTGCGAAGAAATACAGCATCTTGCTACCCCAAAGACCTGCTCCATCAAAGACTGCATTTCACAAGATCTCCAAGATTCTTTTTTTTTTTTTAAAGATTTTATTTATTTATTAGAGAAAGAGTACAAGCAGTGGGGAGGGGCAGAGGGAGAAGCAGATCCTCCCCCGAACAGGAAGCCTGAGGTGGGGTCTGATCCTAGGATCCTGAGATCATGACCTGAGCGCAAGGCAGACACTCAACCAACTGAGCCACCCAGGCGCCCCCAAAAACGATTTTTAAGTCACAAAGGTTTTTGTTATTTTCTTACACAAGATTCTTGCACACGCTAGGGAAGCTAAAGAGGACTATAGGCCCAATGAGGCCTCAGGACAACAAATTCCACCTCAGGGCCAGCCTGAGGAGACAGGTATAACCAGACACAACCATTCCCTGCGAGAACTGTCCCTCTTCCCATTATCTTTTGGGCCTGCCTGGGTGGGGAGACACAGGTAACTACTTACTAGCAGTGTTTAAGGGTGGGGTAGGGGGCACTGCTAGACCTAGCACCTGCCTCACCCACTCTTGCAAACACTCGCCTCCCTCAGTGTGTTCCTCCACTGGAGCCCATTCACACGTTCCAGGTCAAACATACCAACTGGCTTTTCCAGAAGCCCCTGTACCTCAGGTTCCTACCCTACCCACAGAAATATCCTGCCTGGGTTCCTCTGCCTTCACTATGGGTCCCTCCTTGGAATGTCCCTCTACCACACTCCTGAGGCTCCCATGTGAGCCCCAACTCACACTTTAAGACACAACTTTAAAACCATGTCCCCTCAGAAAGGTCCTTGTCTGGCCCAGTCCTTCAACACGCTGGCCCTGGGAGCATGATCAGCACTCCCCCAGTGCACTCATGGGGAATACCCCCCACAGCACGCATGCCTCAGGAAGCCTTCTTAGCTATGCCCAGTACTGTCCATCATGGTGTGGGGAGTTCAGGGCAGAATTCTGGGGTTCCACCGAAAGACAGCACATGCCTGAGCAGAGGCTTCCCTGTCAACAACCAGCTTATTCACCTTCACTCCAGCAAACTAGTCCAAGGAAAGTACTTTACCTTTCTACTGGATCAACGCACAACCCCATAGCCTCCCAGGGTGATGGTGTCATTGCCTGTTTGTCAGGCAGGTTCCCCCACTCAAGCTGGGGCTGGAGACCATCAAAGGCATAGGAGCCTGGGCCCCAGACACCAAGGCTTCCAATGAGGGCCAGGATATTCCCAGGGTGACCCAATAAGCAATGGACAAGAGGGGTCCAGTCCTGATGTTGACACCACAGTCCCAGGAAAGGGGGTGATGCCTCCCATGTCCCCAGAGCCAGAGGGGCAGGAATTTTCCCCTGGTGCCACACTGGCTGAGAGTGGAGGAAAGGCCGTAGGGCCTCCTCCAAAGCCTGTGGCTACACTCACAAAAGCTCACATAAGCAGGCACTATGAACCAAGCCTGGCACTGGGGGCTTCCCTGGCAAATCCGAATTTCACTTAGTTCTGTCTCTTG